TGTGGTCACTGGGCAGACTGGTGGTGGTGGAGCCGTGTGGTGTCGTGTGTGGTCACTGGGCAGACTGGTGGCGGTGGAGCCGTGTGGTGTCGTCGTGTGGTCACTGGGCAGACTGGTGGCGGTGGAGCCGTGTGGTGTCGTCGTGTGGTCACTGGGCAGACTGGTGGCGGTGGAGCCGTGTGTGTCGTCGTGTGGTCACTGGGCAGACTGGTGGCGGTGGAGCCGTGTGGTGTCGTCGTGTGGTCACTGGGCAGACTGGTGGCGGTGGAGCCGTGTGGTGTCGTCGTGTGGTCACTGGGCAGACTGGTGGCGGTGGAGCCGTGTGGTGTCGTCGTGTGGTCACTGGGCAGTCTGGTGGAGCCGTGTGGTGTCGTCGTGTGACTGGTCATAACGGCTACAGGAGTCGTGTTGGAGGACACTAAGGAATGAGGAAGAAGAAGAAAACATTTCTGATCATCAACAGAAAGTGAATTAGAAAACATGGTGATAATTAATGAGCTGGTGAGCTCAGCTTGGCATAAAGGCTGAAGGTAGAAGGAAGGTTTATCTGTGACATAACAGGTTGTAAAGTGAAATCCCTTCTTCAGACAATGTGCAGCAATACAAAAGCAATCACAGAATGGTAAACAGAAATAAACTATATTTAATGGAGCAGTGCTGAGGATGCCAGATTAAACTATATTTACTTCTATCAACCTTACTCAAGTTGAGAACAATGGGTCAGTTCCACTTTTATCATTTCAATCCGAAGCTATCGAATGGAGTCTTCAAACAGGTCTCAGAATTCCTTTCACTGAATGACCTCCTAGATCCGTACTGTTATCAGTCTGGCTTTAAGAGTGGCCACTCTCTGAAATGGCTTTGTTGTCTGTGACAGAGGCCCTAAGGTCAGACCATGTTGTTTCTGCCGTCGTGCAGCTTTGCTCTATACAACATCTACCTCACTCAGCACGCCAACCAGCTTCTGGTCCAGGCCACGGTTATCTCTCGCCTCCACTTCTGCAATGTGACCTAGCAGCTCTTAGCGTCAGCTAAATGAGTAACATTTACATTTTATTCATTCAACCAGCTCTCTTGGTTTGTGCTGTTGGTCAGATCAAACAAGTAGGGCTGTGGTGATTCATCGACGTCTTCGATGGTGTCAAACGGAAATAAGCAGATTTGGCGTTGGTGTCTCTCAATAAAGTTCTGCACCCGGTCTAAGCAGGGATTCCCCCAGAGAAACGAGCCGCAGCTAAAGAAGAACTTCGCCTACGAACATCCTAGGTACCGGAGTGTTTTAGACAGGCCCGATAACTCGGCGCAAGATCTTCCTGGCACGCTTTGTCAAGAGGGCAGCAAGTCAGTGCCTCAAATCCTGCTTATCCTGCCTGTTTAACGTTCGGCCGATTGACATGTTCTGTTTATTTACAGACTGCTGCTACAGTTAGAGCTGCAACCACTTTAATCTGTCGATTTATTTTCTAGATTAATCGATGAGTTGTTTGGCACAAGCGTCCTCAAAAGTCTTGGTTTGTCCAAGACCCAAAAATATTCAGTTTACTGTCACAGAGGAGGAAATAAACTAGAACATTATCACATTTAACAAGCAAGTCTCAGAGAATAAGTAATTGATTAATTTAATAGTTGACAACTAATTGTTGCAGCTCTTTATTTTCTTTGCCCCACACTGATGCAGAAACATGAACCAGTGATTATCTTACTGCATGTTACTCAGTGTGGAAATAAATCCATGTCATGTTTAAGTCTTTAGTACTTCAGTAAAAATCCTAATTCTCCACTTCAGACTCACAGTATTTAAATGAATCTGTCACAGTAATCTTTCTGATTCTGAGGTCCAAGATTTTTCTGATCAGCATCTGACACACACGGTCTGTTAATGTTGTCGTCATAACACAGCAGTGATGTTTAGACTCATTGTAAAATATGCTTCTATTATCATTATTCCAGCTGAATGTGTCTCTTTCAGGATGATTGCATAAAATATTAATGAGACATGTTTTTGAAATTTTCTTTGGATAAATAATAATCTTAATACATAAATTAGTTTAATGGATTAAAAACTAACATTTTTCAACGTTTTCTGACATTTAATAGACTTTTTAATCGGGTAATCTTAATAAACACTGAACTGAATCATTAGAGAGCTCTAAACCAGATATACCGGACCTCTCCTGCTGGACCTCCTCTTTAGAAAACCCCCTCAGGTGTTTTTCCCTCCACAGTCCGTCTGTAAAGTGAGGGGAAAATACTCTTCTCTACTCTTTTGTCATGTGGAAATGTATTTGTTGTTCTCTGAGCCCCAGTGAAACAAACTTAGTTTAAAATGAGTATAAATATAAAAAGCAGCAGGTGAGAGGAGAGTATTTGTCTCACCTGAGGCGCTGACGGCGAGAGCGATCCAGAGTGCGAGCAGCGTCTCCATCTTTCTGCAGGAAATCCGACAGTTTGTGACAAAGATCCCAGTGTGAGCGGCGGCTGGAGTCTGTTTCCATGCAGAGAAAGACTCCTTTATACACCGGCCTCACCTGCGCACAGGTGGAGGAGGGAGGGGAGGGGCTGGCCCGTCCCATCAGCAGAGCTCCACTCTGTGGTCACAGTGTGTTATTTAAAGTTATTTATTTGTCATGCTCCTCTCCTAACCGTCCAAACCAGGACCTGCTAATCTTTGTGTCAGCTGAGAGGCGTCTAGATTGTAATTAATAATCAAATCTGAGACACCAGGCTGTTTAGAAGTAAAAGTTGTAGCTTATTGTCTTTTTTTTTTTTTTTTTTCTTCCTTCAGATTTCATTTGGATCAGCGAGTTTTTCATTCGTCATTTGATCCGTCTTTCTGTGAGCTGACACGCAGAGGGCGGAGCTGAGACACCTGTCAATCAAGGTAAACATTCGCCACACACTTCTCTCATATCAATCAGTCAGCCTTATTCGTGAAACATTCCCACGCAGAGATCTGATCTTGTTCTGTCGCAGCGTCGTTCCTCCATGTTGGTGATTGATGTACGGTGGCCTTGAGAGCTCAATATGTTTAAAGAAAACATTCAGAAAATTAAAGCTGCAAGCAGCGTTGGGCGGGCCCTCGCACGTGTAGCGCGTCGAGGTGTGAGGCGGCTGTTGCACATTCTGGAGCTCTAACAGTCTGGACATGATACATGTGCCACAGAAATTTCATACATGTAGGTAAAACGTGCTGTGGGGGCTGCTTTGTTGAAGGTCACTTCCTGTTGCCAGTAGGTGGCGCTATGACTTTGGGTGAATGTTGTCTTGTACATGTGTTCAGGTCAGGACTCTCATCAAACGTGTAAACTCTGGTACAGAGTTGAGCATGTACAGTTAAGTTACAACAACTTCCTGTGTCATGGCGAAGCTTGGGACTCCGGCGCCATACCACTACCACGCTGTTAACCGAAAACTCAAAAGTTTTACATCATGGCCTCATCAATGTGTTAAGGGTTTTCTGGGACAGTTTTGAAGTTGATGCGTCCAACCTGCTAGAAGTAGTACATTACAGCGTAAATCGTGTTACTTCCTGTTGCCAGCAGGTGGCGCTGTGACTTTGGGTGACTACTGGCATGTGGATGCGTTCAGAGCAGGACTATTGTTACACTTAGTTATAACAACTTCCTGTTTCATGGCGAATCAACAATTTTTGATGACACGCCACGGGCAAAGTGGTCGACTTGTAATAACTGTTTGAATAACTTTTAATCGTCAGTAGGTTTAGAAGGCACAGCGAAAATTTGAAGTTGATCAGACTAAAACTCTAGGAGGAGTTCGTTAAAGTACAAAGTGCGTAAATCGCCAAAAATTACCATTAAATACAAAATGGCCGACTTCCTGTTTGATTTAGGCAGGGGCCCCAAGAGGCTTTTTTGTACGTCTGGACATGATGCATGTGTCAAAGGAATTTCGTACATGTAGGTGAAACTTTGTCCGGGGGCTGCTCTGCAGGGGGCGCTAGCGAGCCATTTTGCCACGCCCAATGCACGAAACCCATAAAATACGAAATCTTTCGCCACGTCTGAATTTAGTTTGGTGAGTCTTTGAGTATGTTTTTTTAGGGATGTAGTACTCGAGACCGGTCTTAAGACCACTTTTTGATGGTGTTGTCTCTGACTCGGGATTTTATTTCAAGACCGTAACTTTGGGAATATCAATAAATTGCTTTTGCATTGTCTGATTTGTGAACATCCTAACTTTGATAAACATATTGCTTCAAATGCAACCAATAACCCTAATTAATGACCCCTCCCTGCGACGCTTACGTTGATTTCAGCCTTTCTAGTCTTTGACCACTCAAAGCGCTTTCATACATCTACCGCCACAGTCGCCCATATGTATGTGGGTGTTTTAATGGGAATGTGGATCTTTCAGATCAATTTGAGAGCTACCTATGATCCACATTTTATAGAACTGGTCTTGGTCTCGCCCTCCCTTGGTCTTGTCTCGGTCTCGACTACAACACTAATGTTTAGGCCCCCAAAATTGAGGTTACTTTGCAGAAAAAGAAAAAAAATCCCTTCAGTTTCAATAGGGACCTCGCACGGTTCATGCTCGGGCCCCAACGACACTGCGACTAGAGAGAAACATCGAACACGACATCATTCAGATTTGAATTGGTATTCAGCTATAAACAATCTTAAATAACTGGAATCTTTCTGCTTATGTTGTGTATGCGATCAAACTGTGAAATGTCTCTCCAACTGGGAGAAATCGAGGCGGAGCTCTCTGGATCGCCGGTACCTTTAAAAAATATATATATAATACAGCCCCCGACATGTCTTGAGAATTTTGGTACGGTGGCATCAGTTCACGTGACATCCTTGGTTGTGATTTCTCAATTTGCAGCCTTTTTTCCTGAATGCTTCTCACAAGCCGTCATTTTAATGAAGACGTTTAGTTTATTTGCTTGTTTTCTTAAAGTTTCATTGAGCGCTCAGGGCCACCGTAGTCGGCCCAGACTGCGGTTCATGTTCGGATCACAGAGACAAAACAGCAGAGAGAGTTTAAAATGCTTTTTATTGGTGATTAATTTGACAGCGGCTGTTTAGGATCAAACCATCTGGAGGCGGGAACCTGTGATGTCGACACTTTAGCTGTAGGCGTCTTTCTCAGTCTGTGATTGGCTGGACGGTGCAGCCACTGGGAGCTCAGCGGTCAACGAAGGCTGGACAGGCTCCGCCCCCGACTCACCTGGAGAGAGTCAAACTTTTTTTCAAACTGTGGCCCCAAAATAACTCGCAGACAGGCTTATTGAGTTTAAATATTATGTCAATTTTACATTGAAGGATTATTTCTGTATTTTTAAACCTTAGCTCTGTTTTCACACATGTTGGAGTTGAAATGACTCTTAGGTACAAAAAGTTTTGAATCTGTGCAGCTGAACTGGTGTATTCCTTCGTGTATTCCTTCGTCAAAATGGCGTCCACTAGGGGTGTAACGGTACACAAAAATCTCGGTTCAGTACGTACGCTGGTTTTGAAGTAACGGTTCGGTTTATTTTCAGGTCAGCTTGAAGGCCTGCTCAGATAAAAGTCAGTTTAAATGCTGAAAGGCGTTTGCACTCTGCTCGTTATGTTGCAGTGACGTTCTCCTTCGTGTGACACCATTAGTGAGTTAAGCAAGTTTGACGTGTTGCCAGAAACAAACCCGATCACTGCTGAGAAATGTCGGCCCGCTGCTTTCGTCTCATCGACTTGTCCGTTGTTGTATTTCACTGGAAACTGAAGTTTTCCCAAACAGAAGACCTTAACAAATAAGGAGGGTCTTAAAGCTCTGGCCGTGATGCTTAAGTCACTAGTTAGCAAGAGGCGGGGCTAAAGCAGCTGTTTGTGTAGCACTGCAAAGCGGAGAGTTGGTCCGCCACTTAATGTGTCTGTGTGGAAACTCGCAATTTACGCATGTTCCACACACAAAACAAGCCTAATCTGACGTTAAAGACTGCGTTCGGTGCACATGTGAAACGGTCCGGTATGAATACATGTACCGTTACACCCCTAGTGTCCACACAAAGTGCCTCTTGTAGGGATCTTTTCCATGACAACAAGAACAAGTTTAACAGGAAACTGAAGTTTCGCTCTGCAAACACCAGAAGAAACTGAGGGCGAGGAGCTTGTTCTGTACGTAGAGGAGCTGCTAGCAAGAATTTATTTTCTAATGTTACTCTGACTCACACGAGTTTGCAGAGTGAAACTTCAGTTTCCTGTTGAAAACAAAAGGGGGTCACCAGGAGTCCCCTGCACAACTACCCCCGAAGGAATACGTTGCTACTGCACGGATTCAAATCTCTTTGTATCTACGAGTCATTTCAACTCAACATTTATGAAAAGGAGTTTAGCAGATGAGACTTTAATGGAGATAATCATGACGTTCTCTCACCGCTCAGACGGGTCAGTCTGGTTCCCAGTTGGTTCCAGAAGGAGCAGGAGCTCTGACTCAGACCCCGCTGGTGTCGAAGGGCGGGGCTTAGCTCCAGGTAGGTGGGCGGAGCCTCAGAGGACAGGACCTGCTGCCAGCGGGGCAGCGCAGACGCCGGCCACACACGTGACGGGTTCGGGTTCCTGAAGGGGAACAATGACTTGGTTATGAACGACGCCGGCTCATTTGGTGATCTCATTAAACGTGTAGCTCGGTGTGTTTATCTGACCCGGTCCGGATGAAGCTGGAGACGTAGGTCATCACGGCCAGAGAGAGGCGCCGGTCAGTGGAAGTGAAACGCTGAGAGCTCGTCGGATGATGAGGAGACCCGAAGACAAACTGAACATCCAGAGGGACGAACACGTCCGCCCTGTCCAGATATAAAAACCACAGGAGTTACTCATCAGTGTTGTGCAGGCGTGTCAGTGTTTCCAGGGAAACGCTCAGTACCTGTTGGAAGAGCTGGTGGCGGGTTGGTGGTACAGGAAGACGTTGGCTTTGCTGTTAGCCCAGTGGCTAGCCATCTGCAGGCTGGGACAGATGACGAACAGGTCTCTGCAACACACACAGGTTATTTCTCCCTTTTTATTCTGCTGTTCAGGCTGCGGTCAGCAGGCCTGGAGCTCCTGTTTGACTCTAATGTACAGACATGAACTGGCGGACTGTCCGACCTGGTGGCGTTGTTGAGCGCTCTGGAGAACAGGTTGTATCCAGCAGCTGAGGGACTGTGGTCCAGAGAGTAGAACCAGGCCGCCGCCTCTTTCAGCAGGTCATTTCCTGTGGCTCCACCCAGCGAGCGACTCAGAGCCTCGTAGAACGCTGTTTTACCGTCAGCTCGACCCTGCAGAGCCTCGAAGTCCTGAACGCACACGAGAAAATAAAACTTTTACCCAGTTCCTGGTTCACAGGAGCGTGGCGCTGCAGCGTGACCTCTGACCTTTATCCTGCGAGCTCTGCTGATCAGACCGTCGTGTTCGGACGTTCCCAGCAGCAGGTCGACTCTGCGGAAGGACGACTGCGGGACGGACCGAAGGACCGGAGACCAGGACTGAAACGGGCCGCTGACCGCCAACAGCTGCGACACACGGGACAGAGCAGACATGTTGGGACCTGGACTTTCAGATCTTAACACGTCCCGGTTGTTAAACTGTACCTTGGTCTGAGCGGCGTTGAGCGTGTGCACAGGCGTCGCTCTGAGGCAGGCGGCAGTCTTGTCGTCGTCGGTGGGGTCAGAGGTCACACAGCCGAGCTCTTTGGCCAGATCGACCGCCTGACGCCTGGAGGTGGACGGAGTCTGAAGCAGCGACGGGGAAAAGACAGAACCGCCCTGCAGGAAGAACGACGACATGCAGCCGCCGTCAGGAACCTTTAAATACTGTAGTAGTAATACAGACTAGCAGATTGCAGCTGTAGTAGTTGTACTGGTTGTAGTTACAGTAGTAGAAAAGATTCTAGTAGTTGGCTGCAGTAGTGGTAATATAGACTAGTAGTAGTTGTAGTAATTAGTAGTACTGGGACTTCAGACTGTGGGATTAGTAGTAGTCATAAAGACCAGTGTTTCCCACAGATGGACAGCGTAACTGTGGCGGGGGGGGCGACTGTCACAGGCCTGAAAATGCATTAAAGTTTTGCTTTTAAACGCTATACTGTTTGTGGGGTTCATCAACAGTGCTAAATGATCAGTATATATTTTATGAACATTAATATATTATTGCACTTAAGAACTGAATTGTAGTATTGGGCTAAACAGATGTTGTAGGCTACCTACTGATATTTGCCTTCACCTCGAGGTGTATCCAATTCACGGCAGGCATGCAGAATTCAGTGCAAAACGTCACTAGACCTCGTGGAAGCACGGCCTGATCATTGTTCTAAGCTCACACGGTCAACCGGAGGCAGATTGTGTCTGACTTGACGGCGCTGTTTTTATTCCCCTATCTATCAAGTCGGCGAAAGTCAGACGGGTCTCCGACACCGACAGCGTTGTGTTGAACAGATTTGTGCAGCGTTGTTTCATGATTTAATTCGCAGACGGGTCTGTTGTCTGTTTGCGAGAAAGAGAGAGAGAGAGAGCGAGCGAGAGGATGTGCCGAGCGTCCCGCCCAAGTAAAGCCTACGTGTGGGAAACACTGCAGCAGTATTGGCTACGAGTACTAGAATCTTTTCTACTGCTAACACGACGTCTTTACTACGTCCACTACTGCGTCAGCATTCACACTGATTGGTGGAGGCGTTTCTCACCATCAGCATCAAACGCTGGAACAGAGGAGGGGAGGAGGAGGAGGAGAGGAGATGAAGGCTGGTGATGTCAGCACCACGTCGCTCCGCCCCCACGGTCACGCTCCTGTTGTCTCCGCCCACCAGAGAGATGTGGGCGTTAACCCAACGAAGCGCGGCCTCCTGGTCCGACAGACCGTAGTCACCATGGAGACCTGACGAACCTACAGCCAGAGATTTAGAGCGAGTACTTATATACATATACAGACACATACATTCACACAGTACGTACCGGTACTCAGGAATCCCAGCGCGGCGGTTCTGTAGCTCGCCGTCACCACGACTATATTACCCACAGCGGCGAGGGTGGAGCCATCCAGCAGTCCTGGGCTCTGATTGGCCGAAGGGTTGAAGAAGAAAACCAGGACTGGGACACGCCCCCTCTGCTTCACACACACACACACGTTATAAATTAGGAAAGTACAAAGATTTTAGCATCAAACAAAACTTACTGTGTTCACTGAGAAAGCAAAGTGATGAAACAGACAGACAGAAAAACCAGCATGCATCTCTGTGCAGAGCGTTGTGAGTCGACGACCGCGCCTGCGCTTCAGAGCCAGCAAGCAACGGACTTTCAAAATAATGATGATAAAAACTGCGTTAACGTCCCCGACCCTAGAACATTCACTTTGCTTCCTGCAGGAACACAACATGGAAGGACTCGTTATGCAGAATGACACATTTCAGGACTCACCTGAGCAGCAGGAGTGAAGATGTTCAGGTAGAGACAGTCCTCACCGGAGGCTGCAGACTCTACGTCACCTGGCTGGATACAACTGGGACTGAAGGACAAAGAGAGACAGACGTGTAGACTTTGACTCCATCATGTAATATCCGGTGGAAGAAGCGCTGCATTCAAAAGGTTACTAATATATAAGTTATTATCAGCAACACGTACTTATATGACCTAGAATCAGGATGAATTTAACGTTTTACCTTTGATTATTTTGTTCTTGTTTTTTCGCACTCGTAGTTCACTGACGAGGTTTGTTCTGTAAATATTAATTAAATATTTTCTTTTTTTTTATTCACAAATGTCAAATCAATGCTTAAGGAAAGCAAATGGCGGAGCGGACAGTCTGTGGCGAGCACATAACCTAACACATTATTTAGAGGCTCGTCCAGCCATAACTCACAGTATCACAAATAAAAGTACTCATACTGTGTGTAATATTACTGTATTATTATTCCTGTACTGTGTAAGCAGTATTTAAATGTTGTACACGGTAATTTACTGTGTTCTATTAACTTCGTTACAGGTTTTAAATGTAGCATAGAAGCAAAATATCTCGACCCTCTAGCGCCCCCCTCTGGACAAACGCCACCACCGATAGAACTAAGAAAAGCAAGAACCCCGCAGCCTGTAGGGGGCGCTGGCAGAACTGTAGACTACTACACCTGTCAACGCCCACCAGACAGGTGGAAGACGTGTCGTTACCGGGGTTTGGTGGCGTCCCAGGTTCCCGTCCAATTGGCCGGCTGAGCCACCTCAAAGCGGAGGGATCCTATTGGTGGACGGGCGTACGGGACTCCCAGGAACTGGACGACCTTCTTCCTATCTGAGCCAACGGCTGTTTCAATGGCGGCGCCCTGCAAAGTCCCGTGACCCGGGATGGAGAAGGACGTAACCAACGCCGACCGCTCGCCTGTCCTCAGGTACACCTGGGTGGCGGGCTCTCTTATGACCAGCCTGCAGGAGTAGGAGGCGGGGCTGGATGAGCTGGGGGCGGAGCTTAACCCGCAGGCTGTGGTGTCGGGGTAGAGGACACAGCGAGTGGCGGACTCCACTTCGCTGAGTGACACGGCAACACAAGACTCCGCCTCCTGACAGGCTGAAACAGGAAGGAAGCAGAGGAGGGGGGGGGGGGGACACCACTTCAAGTTTGATCTAGATAAGAAACCTTGAATGATGACGTTATGGTTACGATAGCGGTGGTTACCATGGAGACACCAGTCCCTCGTCTCGTCGCGGTCGGCAGCGATGTCACGACTCACGTGGATGACATCATACGTGGAGACCGACGGGTCGACGAGGACTGATGACTCGGAGAGGAGACGCCACTGACCCAGAGACACTGAGACACACAAATACTCCAGTATTAGAAGTAATGTTAGTAGTAGTAGTAGTATTAGTAGTATTATTAGTAGTAGTAGCAGAAACCATGATCAGGAACAGTAGTAGTATTATTATTAGTAGTAGTATTATTATTAGTAGTAGTAGTAGTAGTAGTAGTAGTAGTAGTAGTAGTAGTATATTATAGTAGTAGTAGTATTATTAGTAGTAGTAGTATTATTAGTAGTAGTATTATTAGTAGTAGTAGTAGTAGTATTATTAGTAGTATTATTATTAGTAGTAGTAGTAGTAGTAGTAGTAGTAGTAGTAGTAGTAGTAGTATTATTATTAGTAGTAGTAGTAGTAGTAGTAGTATTAGTAGTATTATTAGTAGTAGTAGCAGAAACCATGATCAGGAACAGTAGTAGTATTACTAATAGGCGTAGAAGTAGAAACTGTAGTATTAGTAGTTAGGCATCAGTATTTTCTGCAGTACTAGTAGTTGAAGTCATAGCAGTAGTTTTTAGTAGTTGTGGTATTATTAGGCTGATAGTTGTAGTAGAAGCAGTACTTGTAGTAGCTGTATTAGTACTCGTAGAAGTAGCAGTAAAAGTAGGAGAGAGTATCATGAGTAGTACTGTTAGTAGTAGTGGTTGCAGTAATGATAACGGTAGCGTAAAGGGTAGCAGTCATAGTAGTTCCAGCGGTTACTGTAGTAGTATTAGCAGTATTAGTAGTAATGAGAGTAGTATTGCAGTTTTCAGGCTCACCGTTGTTGCTGGTTGGCGGCAGGTTGAACGGAGGACAGAGAGCAGGAGAGGAGCTCCACTGATTCACTGAACACAAACACGCCACGTTACTCGCTGGGGGGCGTGTACAGTGTGTATTTGTATGTGCGGTGTGTATCTTTGTGTGTATTCAGTACCTGGTTTCTGGTACCAGCCGAAGGGGTCCGGCGCAGTCTTCACTACAGACGGTCTGCAGTCCTGAGTCCTCCAGGTCGTCGAGTCGTCCTCACCGCAGGTCTGAACCCCGAGACTGATCAGAGACAGACACACCACGTCTGGCCCGCCTGCAGCGCACACGCACGCACGCACGCACACGCACACGCACACGTTAATACTTCATGTCATAACCCCTCGCTGCTCCAGAGGCGTGCGACCTCTGACACGTATAGCAGCTGTAAGTCGCTCTGGATAAAAGCATCAGCTAAATGAATTAATGTAAATGTTTTTTTTTTTTTACAACTTGTCTAGTTATGAAAAGTAAACAACAACAAGTATAAATTGATTTAACCTAAGCAAACTCAGGGTTAACAAACTGCTACACTGGAGATAAACGGTGCTACGACGGTGGATCAGATGTCGGTTAGCTGAGTCCGTGTTAACGTAATTGAAGTTGGTGCGCGTTCTCATGAAAGGGGCGTGTTCGGCCGTGTAGACTGAGGTTTTCTCAACGGCGCATGCTCCGTATTTCTCCAGTAGAAGCACGTTGATAGTTTCAGGATATGAGACACGTTTACGGCCAAATCTAACACGGTGGCGGCCGACAGAGCCAGGGAGGCTTGTTGGCTTCGCATGGAGTAAATCTGTAGCCTAATTATCTCCCCAGTGTTCTTATTGTAGTTCAAATCTCTATTTCCTGTGTAATATGATTTAAAGGTACGACTGCACAAAGGAGCCAGCGGAGAGGGGGAATAACTCGAGACAGAATTTAATTTAAAGATTAATCTACAAGTAAAGAACTTGAATATTCTCTGACATTATAGTCACATTTATGACTTCACTCTGCAAGGCTGCAACATCACACTCACACACTGCTGTGTTGTGTGCACTGCACTGGAAAGTGATATTAAACTATGCAGTCAGATTTAGCAGCTCGTGAGTTTGGCCCACAGTCGCTATCCTGCACCTCAGAGACTTCGCTGTGGATCGGGTGGACTCAGAAGAAAACAGCAGTGATTTTTGTGATATTAATTTCAGGGAACTTCCAATTTTTCTTTTTGCAAATTTCACACTTTCATCTAGGATTTTTTTTCCTCAGTTATTAATCCTGGCTTCCTATTTTTTGGACACGTAAAATAGTCAATCTAAATATGTGAAAACACTGAGGAGAATTAATTATAACCTACAGACGGGCTCCATCTAAGAAACTGTCCCGTTAATTAATTAAGATTCGTCTCTAAAATCCCAGCTCGGCAGCTCGTTAGATCGGTTCGATTCTCCACAATTCTGTCGTTCAGTTCATTTAATGGAAACAACGAGCCCCAGAGTCTGATTCATTTAGATTTACCGCTGTAACCTGCCTGGTACAAGAGAAACGTGCCGCCTCATGTTACCTTTGAAGCGCTCTTTCAGTCCGAATGTGTCCGTTCCTGATTATTTATCTTCCTTCAGTCTGTGAGGCTCCACCCATCAAAACAATCAAAACAGCTTTTCATAAAAACGAATCCTGTCGTGTGAAGTCCGTCGCTCTCTGTCTGCTAACTTCTCTCATCCTGCTGCCTGTTGTTGTTTTCACTACGCCTTCAAAATAAAAGCTCATAAGTCATCTGGCGGAGCTCGATCGAATGAATGACGTGTATTTGATTTGATTATCGGATCAAGTAATATTCTGTTTCACAGCAGCCTATTTCAGTTTTGTGCGAAATGAATTAAAGGCCTGTCCCAAATACAGGCCGGGACAATTCAGGGATTTTAGCAAATAAGAGGCTGTGAATAATTAAAGTTTTATAGTATTAGTATTTCTGTGTTACTGGGCTGTAAATATGTTCTATGGTTTAATGCAGTTCGTTTTATTTCCAGCTCAGGAAAGTTACTCGACGCGTTTAAAAACACACACACACGGTTACCATGGTTACCTGGTGACTTGGTGTCTCGGACGAAGCCGATACCGCGGCAACAAGGATCCTCATCACAGCGCCGCTCGCACTCCGTGAACCTGAACACACACACACACACACACACACACACACACACACACGGGTCACATGATGCTGTGGGAAAGAAACCACGTATCTCCAAAATGTCAACAAACGAAGATAACTTGTATGTCTCCGCTCCGTTTCTGTAAACTCTTAATAACTCAAATGTTTCTCAGACTTCTGTTTTCTGACAGCTCAGGCGGTGCAGCGGTTCGTCCACGTATCACAGGGTTGGTGGTTCGAGTCCCGCCTCCTCCCGTCCACGTCACAGATCGGCAGCTCGCTTCAGTGGGCGTGAGCGAGAGGCCAACTGTTACAGCTCAACCTAAACAAACCTGCAGATACGTAGTTATGTTAAGTTGTGCGTTACCCTTCAGACAGCGGCGCGTTTCCTCTCAGACCCACTCGGCTGCGAACAGAATAAGAAACCATCTTCTGGAAGGAAACTCTCTCGTAGAAACTTTTCACCGGTCCGGACAGATCCACTGAAAGCACACAGAGCGAAGGGTTAACCGGTGAACTGTCGCTGGAGACCGCTAATCTGTTCGCAGCGTCTGCGTGTGCACTGAAAGGTTAACAAAAGCTGACGAAATAATGAAAACCAGGTGTGAATAAACTTTTTTGTAAACTGAAATAATATTAAAAACGAGGTTTTACAAAAAAACAAAGTGAAACTGTGTCGTGTTTCACAAAACAAACAAAGTATAGAGCGTCTAGTTTTCGTCTTCGTCAGTTTATTTCACAGGGCCTACAGAAGCACACAGTGTTTTGGGTGGATGTGAAATCTATCTTCCAGTTTCTTAGCCGTGCCAGTTTTCAGGCCACGCCCCTCACCTGGCATCATGACGGCGAAAGTCAGGAGAAAAGTCTCACGTTATTTATTATCACCAAGTATCGGATCTTTATTTCTCTCGAGTTTAAAGGCTGATTTCTGCTCCTGAGTGGAAGTTGAAGAAACCTGATGGTTAATTGTGGTTTAAACTTTTCTTTCTGGTCAGAACGAACACAAATCTGAGGCAGAACATCAAAACTATCAGGATAAAATCTTTGTCAACAAATACGCACGAGTAAAAAAAGTAAAAGCTTTTTTCCTCAACAAAAGTAATTTCTTAATAAAGAAAATAAGTCTTAATTTGTTTATGACTCAAGTGAATAAAATCACATTTCTGAATATTTATTGAACATTTGTTAAATTGTTATTGACAATAATTATATTGCGATAATTCCTGTTACATTGTCGAACATTTCAGATTCAGCCTCAGCAACGCTGAGCAGAGAGAGGAACTGTGGAAAACATGCAAAGCGAAGGAGGAAAGAGAGAAAAGAGACAACGAAGGTCAGCGTGCACGCCAAACAAACCAAAACACAATAACGTGTTTACGAGTTTTTGTATTCCGTCTTGTGCTTGTTAAACTTTGTAAGCTCAGTATTTTGTGCATTTTCCTTGATAATGAAGCGAGTAATAGTCGTGATCTCATTCGGGGTCAATAATCGCAATACGAAGTAAATCGTACAGCCCGACTGTGTCCCAGAGTCATCTGAGCTTCGTCAGGTGACCTGGTCTCAACTTCCTCTCTCTCCCTCTGCGCTCCTAAAAGCCGACTTCCTCGCCACAGAGTCGCGTTCGTTCACCTGGTCTTGCTGTAGGTGTTGTTGGGCGTTCTGTCCAGCAGGGGGCGACAGGGTCGTCTCAGAGGTTTGTCGTACGCTCCACACACTCTGCTGTCCGGATACAACGAGCAGCTGAAGAAACCTGCTGAGTCGGCGTCCCTGAGGTCGGCGAGCGAACACTGCCGCTCGACGTCGCAGCCTGGAACACAAACGTTCAACTCTGTGAGAAAAAACACACGAGGACACACGATCTCTGCTGGTTGTTATGTGACGTACGTGAGAGACACCAGAGCAGTGCCTGCTGGGAGTCGTAGTTCTTCTTGTTGAGCCAGAAGGAGAGCGTGGGGAGTTTTCTCTGAGGATCCACGAGGACGTCGTCCTCTGACAGAGACTCAAACTTCCGCTGCACCGACGCTGAACACAGAAAACACACATAATCACAGAAATTCTGCTCCGCCACATTTATCTGACAGCTAGTATAAATCCTGACTGCAGCTATTCTCATCCAACAAATCTTCCATTTTAAATCCTGGTTATTCTGAAAAGAAAATATCTGCAGTTAAAAAGAGACAAACACGCAGAGACATGGAGGAAACTAACCGTCCAGAGGAGCGCTGAGATCTGCTGCTGCACAGGAAGAGGAACCAGAAGCACCGGCTGCCGACTCTGCATCTGACAAACAACAACAACAACATGAGAAACAGCCCTGAATAATAATCTGATGACAGGATATTTAGCAGCATTCAGATTGTAAAGAAGTCTGTGAGAAAATGTTTCTACTTGTCAGCTGATTTATTCCCTCAGTAAACACTGATGAGTTTCTGGTCTCAGTCGCTAGTTTCAAGTCTTCTTCAACACAGCATGATGTTCATTTAGTAAATTATGGTCCCATTTAGAGGAACAGAGACCAGGAAGCAGGGGAGGCTTTAGGGCGGGGCTACAAGCTGACTGACAGGTCGCTACCATGGTGACCTGTCAGTCAGGATAGAGGAGACCTGTATCACTTCTTTTCTAGCGTCTGCAGTTATCACCCTGAGCCGTTAGCATCACTATAAATAACGTCTGAAGGTACCGGTGTTCAGATAGACGGCCTGGAAGCTGACGATGGAGGCCTGGTAGTCCTTCTTGTCCTTACTGTCAGCCGGCAGAGCCGAATCCGCTGGACAAACAAACAGGAAACAGAACAAACAGGAAACAGAACAAACAGGAAACAGGCGGCTGTCAGCGTCTCGGTGAGTTCAGGCTCTCAGACTTAATGTAGTTGTAACATTTCTCACTGATGGTGAACTTTTGTCCTCCGAAGTCGAACACGAAGCTCCTCTGCTGTTCGTTGTAGGTCAGACCCGCCCCACAGGTACGATTGGCTGTTCCCTGTCCAATCACATCCCAGTCCTGGTCCCCGCACAGCAAGACGGACGGAGCTCTCAGCCAACCACAGAGCAGAGAACCTGAGGAGGGGGGCGGGGCAGAGGAGGAGGTGAGACGCTCCGAGGTTAGATTCATTTATTCACACAGTTATTCCTTTAAGTGCACGTTCACACAACTCATTCATTAAATCACTCATTCATTCGCTCGCTCAGGTGACGCGTGTCTCCGTGGTAACGCACCTCCGTTCAGGCTGTTCCGGTTGAGGATGAAGCCGTCGCAGCAGGCGTCGCGGCTGCAGCCGTCCTGACAGAAACGGTGAGCGTCAGAGAGAGACGTCCGCCCGGAGGAGAACACCTGAGTCCTGAACACACCTGAGACCGCCTTCGTCATCCTCGTCCTCACAAAGGAAGAGAAGGACTCCGCCCCTGAAACACACACACACACCTTTCTGCGTGACTGAACGGCAGCGCAACTATTTGACTGCGTGTTTGTTATTTTGTTTGTGTCAGCCAACCTTTCTTCCTGATGACCAGCAGGTCTGAAGCTCCGCCCCTCACTCTCAGAGAGCAGCTCAGCCAATCAAACAGCTCGGCCTGAGGATTACCCAGAAACCCACTGGTCTGAAAAAATAAAAAAACCAAGACCTCAAACACGGAGTCGCTGTGGAGACGCATCACTCCTGACACACGATATTGAGTTTCTGTTTTTGTTTCCAACGCAGGTAACGTCTTGTGAGAGTTTCATGTTTAACTTTCATGTAACCAAACGTGTGTGTGTGTGTGTTTACCTGCGTGGAGGTGTTGCAGTGTGTGTTCAGGGTGTGCGTGCTGTACAGTTCACAGCGAGTCTGCCTGTTGAACAGCGCCACGTGGTGGCAGGACGGCTCTGCTGCACACGCTGAGACACAAACGCACAACAACACCGTCAACAGAGCGCACACTCCGACCTCCGACCTCAGGTGTCATTTACATGTTCACACCACTTATTTAAAGCATTTCTTAAAAATGTTGTGAAAAATAGCAATAAGAAATGTTCACTAACAAACCTAAGTGCTATGAAAAAGTTATTCTTTTGGCACAATAAGAAAACATGCGACACAATGTAAATATAGAAACATCTGATTACTGCATTATATCATTATATTCTCAATGGTCACCTGAACTTATAACTTATAAATAAAGACATTTCCACCATAAATTGGTGCAGAAAATGTCTCCAGAATGCAGGAAATTAAGTGTTTCATGCTCAAAATCTTCTGGGGGAGGAGCCCCGAACCCCCCAGGAGTATATTTTAATCAATGAGTATGTCTTTCAGTGGTAAAATATCTTTTAGTCTTGTTCTCGTGACCCCAGTATTCAACACAAAGTGACGCCCTTGCCTCTGACCTCTACGGGACCGTGCTGCCGTTTGTCCAGGTTCAGCTGACTGAAGCTTATTCACATGAACGCCACGTCGCTGCAGATTATTTTCAAATAATCCATCAGTTTCTAGATTCACCTCCCTCCTTCAGAGAAAATCCCTCATTTACCTTTATTTTACCAGGAAGTCTCATTGAGATCAAAAATCTCTTTTAAAAGAGAGACCTGGCCGAGGATGCAGCTATACATAAACACAACATATTAAAATGCTTCGTACAATCATGACAAAATTCACAAAAACACATCTATTCAAACACACTGGCCTCAAGAAAAACAATCACGTCTCCTTCACCACATTCTTTATGCTGCTCTTAAATTTATCTATACACGTTTCCAGTTTAAGATGTTGTTGTAAATGGGTGCATAGTATGAAAATGCAGTTTTCCCCAGATCTGTCAAAACCCTGGGTTCATTAAAAAGCAAACACTTGGAGGAGCGTAGCTGGTAAACTAGCAGAATTGAGACAGGGTTCAGAGGTAAGCTGGAAGTTTACCCAGCATGGCTTTATATATAAACATATACCAGTGCTGTTTTCTGCGGGTGGTCAGAGATGTCCAACCTACCAGATCTTGTGTGTGAACACTTGGCACTAGTCCAGCGTTAACATCTGCGCGAGGATTAAATGCGCGGTTACATTTGCGTTCAGATGTTCTGATGTCTGTCAGATCAGGAGGTAAAGCAGCTGACAGACTGGGTTAAAGCATTTTAAAAACACAGTTTTGCTCCTTTAAGGCTGCGAAAACATGACAGTAGCAGTTTGCATTAACATTAAGTTTTACTTTTACATTTTGATCCTTTATATATTTTTCTCTCCGTGTCTGTGACAGCGATCAATAAATTAAACACTCTGGTGTCTGAAGCTGCAGGACTGCTGCCCATCACTTCGTCTGGACCCGATGCTCTGTGTGTTTGTGTGTGAGCGTTACCTTGGACGCAGGTTGTGAGGTCAGAGGTCATCGTTTGCAGGACTTCAATGTCTTCGGCTCCGACGATCAGATCTGATCCAGGAACAGCCAGAAACCTGCTGAGAACTGCAACACACACGCGAATTATAAAGTGCTGAACACAAATAAACCGATAGAGAGAAAAGCTGCTCTCTGATTGGCTGCTGAGCCTTCACCTGCACACTCCTCATCAGTCAGAGGCTTTTCACTGGTGGTCCACTCAAGCTCCGCCCCCTCGCTGTTGAAACACCTCCACCTGCCGGACGGGAGGTCGGGCTGCGCTGACAGGAAGTCACCTCGCTCTGAACACCTCAAGCCCCGCCTCTGACACTCTGTCACACCTGACAGACACGCAGACAGGTAAATAATATACACCTGGAGCTCCGCTGTAAACCAGGAAAATCTGGGATGTGACGACGATAAAAAAACACGCGGTGAAGCGAAGATGTTTTTATTCACTACAGGAGCAGAAAGGAACATTTGAAATACAACCAGACGTTACAGAAAATGTAACAGGTTGTCGTATTTAAAAGTTACTTTATCAAAGTAATGTAACTTATTACAATTAATTACTTTTCTAAATGTCTTTTCAGCTGTTAACCATTTTCAGCAGTCCTCGAGCCTGAATACTGCCCGACTCCTCTTAAATAAACTACTGCACCTGCAAAACATGAACCTAAAACACGTCTTCAGCACGCGTTGGAAACACACAGACGGTCGGTCCTCCTACTTTATTTAATCAAGCTGCTCAATCAGGTTGGACACGGACGTTTTAAGCGCTGACTGCATTTTAACGTCAGGCAAACGTACTTTGTTTTGTTTAATATGGCTGGGAATCTCTGGGAACCTCACGATTCTGATTCAGATTATTGATGCATCTTCATAATTTCTTTCTATACAGGATCTCTGGATAATTAAAAAGCAATTTGTGCATTAAAATCCAAAAGAAACAGCTCCTAATTAACTTAAACAAACTACTTTGCATTTCTAATTTACTTCATTAACCTCAGCTCCACGGTCCCTCGTTTAGTGCTGTAGTCAAGACCGAACAAACCGAGACCAAGTAAGACCAAGACCAGAGTTTATCAAGACCGAGACGTTTAGCGGCTGAGACCGAGTCGAGACCAAGACCAGTTCCCCACGTGACATGAGAGCTGAAATCAACGTAAGCATCTTTATTCAACTCTCCTTTTCTACGTTTACCATCACAGGGAGGGGGGGCAGGCGTTAACAGGAACAACACATTTTTAATTTTCCCGACAGGAAATCGCGTCTCTCTGCGTCTTTGCATTGACTTTGTATGTATTTTTAATTATTGGTTGCATTTCAAGCAATAAGTTTTCCAATCAAAGTTTGGATGTTAACAAATAAATCAGACGATGCAAAAGCAATTTATTGATAAATTATGGTCTTGACTGGTCTTGGAATAAAATCCCGAGTCCTCGATGTCCGAGACAAGATCGAGTACAACACAGAAGACCGTCAAGAAGTGGTCTTGAGACCAAGACCGGCGTCGAGTACTACAACACTACCCTCATTTCTTTAACAACCACAGACTCCTCTGAAAACTGAAATATAATTATCAGGTTGACAGGTAGGTAAGTTAGCAATGACATCCAGCTGAGCTAATTAATATTACTTTATTATAACGTTACATAAGAGCCACAGGACGTGCTGTCGTTTATTATCGTTTATTAACGGACACACGGCGACCCACGCTGCACGTTTACTACCAGACTGAAACTTAATTCATTTTAATTATTTAATTAATTATTATGTTTATTTTGAATATATGTACAAAGAACATCCGACAAGAAAATGAAATCAAGTAGACAAATCAAAGTGATAATTAATTAATTATTATTGTGTTATTCTTAACAATAGTTACAGCCAAAGACTTTTTAAACTCTCAATGACCATTAAATATTCGAAAAACTTACTGCTAATATTTTCCTCTGCCAACTTTCAGCGTCATGTTCTGCCGCTCACTCTCTCTCATTCGCTTGTCCTCACACTCAGGATACACAGAACGTTCGCCGAGCGTCGCCGTGCTCGCAGCGTGCGAGTTAAAATCATCATATTAATGATTGTGTGACGTTTTTGTCGGGTGGTTATTCATTCCGCAGCTCCAGCCGCTGCACTTCTGCAGGTTTCACCTTTTTGCGTCCCGTCAACATCACGTTATCAATTAACATCTAAATAATCGATTTTTTGTCATTTGTTAATCGAGGCAGAATCTTCAACGTCGATGCATCTAAGAATCGTTTTTTTTTCTCCCGCCCCTGATGTTTAACCCTTTTCTGATTTCTGTCATGTTTTTTAAACTTAAAGCACTGGAACATGTTTTGTATCTGTAGACGTGCAGCATCAAACTTTACTAAACAGCTGAAAACGGCGAAGGACGACAAACAAAGAACATAAAATTTATTTTACCTAAATTACACGTAACTAGTTTCTCCCCTACGCTGATAAAAACTCAGTGTCATCTAACAGGAAACTGATCTAACATGAAGATAAATCCTGTCAGTCCCTCCTCCTCCTCCTCCTCCTCCTCCTCCTCACGTTAACTTCCTGCTGTAACCCCTGAACAAATAAGTTTTCTCTCACATTGATTGACAGATGACGCTCCAGCAGGTGAGGAGCCTCTGGGACACTCGCTGCAGAAGCTCCGCCCTTCTTCATCCTGATAGGTTCCCTGAGGACACAGAAGACACGCCCCCTCCCTGGAGAAACTCCCAGCAGGACAAACGACTGTAAAGAAAACAGGGAGACTGAATCAGGACAAACACTGAGGCATTATGGGTGTTTGTGTTAAAGGTCACAGAAAGAACACTGATGAACGAACGACGTGAACAGACTCACCGCAGCCTTCGCCGTCACTGTTCAGGCGGTAACCAGGGGAACAGCCAAAGCTTGGTGTTGTCATTGAAACCAGTTTGGGTTCTGACATGAACTGGATTTTACCCAGAAGTCCCTGCACCCCCTCCAGAAGTCTGGACTCGTTCAGAAACAGACCTGATGGAAAACAATAAAAACACGTCATCATGAGAATCCAGATTCTTTGTGCGACACATTAAACAGCTGGTTTTGTGAATGGAGTCTGGTGCACAGCTCCTCCCTCAGCGTCCCTCTGCTCACCGATGTCGTGGAGGTCGGGGAGGTCAGAGGTCGGCAGGTCAGACAGGCTGGCGGTCAGCCTGACGGTTAACTTCACCGTGTCGCCATCGCCGTCACACTGCAGACGCACCGACGAGTCGTCACACAGCGACACCGAGCGACCCGACATGGGAAGCTACAGACACACGTCAACAAAAACACACGTTTATGTTCCAACAACTTTCAGCAGCTTTTCATCCTGAAGCAGTTCAGAAACATTCTGTACTGATGATGCCGGCAGGATATTTAAAAACACACTAATGTTCTATAAAAATCATTCATTCTTTATTAAATCATCTTTAAATCACTTCTGAATGAGCATAATAATAAAATTAATAATAACATACAGTACAAACCCCGCGGATATATAATGAATAAAATGAGTAAACCCGGTACAGCAGTCCTCAGTATCAGGCGGGAGTGGAAGGTGCAGTACAGGTGAGTACAGGTGCAGTACAGGTGAGTACAGGTCAGTACAGGTGCAGTACAGGTGAGTACAGTGCTCACCTGTGCAGAGCAGAGCCCCCTGCTGGTCATCATGTTGAACAACAGAGACTGTAAACTGCTGATCTCAGAGCAGGATGAGGACAACGTCCAGAGCTGAGAGACCGACACCGACTGCAGAGGCTGAGAGACTACGTGCACACACACAAACAATCACTTCACTTTAAACAGTAAAATCAGACAGTTATGCAAATTTGTTAATTGTATTTTATCTGTCTATCAATCACACAGAGTGTCTGTGTTGTGAAATGTGTTCTTCTAAAGCTGCAAACTTTTTCCTCTTTTAACAAAATAATTTGAACATTTTATTTTGTTCACGTCCTTTTGTGAAAAAGACGGGAACTGACTGAAAGGATCTCAGTGACACCTTTTTGTGGTCAAACTTAAAGAGGTGGTTTTCTGCTCATTTTCAGCTTCATAATCTTATTTAGAGTTTGTACCAGAGCAGGTTTCCATGGTTATATTTTTGTCCTACTGCACATTGCTGCAGCTCCTCTTTTCAGCCTGTGTTGAAGGCTTCGTTTTAGCTATGGAGTGATGCATCTTGTCTCTAAATGATCTTTGTTGGGAGTTGCACATGCTCAGTTCCTAGTTAAGGACTACTAGCCAATCAGAAGCAGAGAAGGGCGGGTCGCGAGAAGCCGGTAAACAGCTCGGGTTCAGCCGTACACGGACTGGAGCGAGAGTTTCAGAGCGGTGAGTTATTAATCTGTATCCATAAAGTTTTAACTGAGCTCTGTCTCTACATCACAGGAACAACTTTATGTCCACTGACTGCCTGGAGGGTAGCTAGTGTTTGGAAGGGAGAGGAGAGCTGTGTGCTGCAGCTCGCTGTTTCTGAGGGCGTGTCGGAGTCGCCGCTTGGCGAGCGTTAAATGAGGCGCGTTTAGCTTGAAAGCATGAAAGGGAAGCGGCTGTTTTCAGTTCAGAGCAGAGTTTTCTGTGGGAGGTGGGAACTCACTTTGGTCACTGTGTTTATATAAATGCAGCTGCACTTTCCTTTCGTATTTCAGCTCTTTCTAACATCAGCTATGTCGAGGGAATTTTAAGCAATCTTTTAAAATGTCACAAAAAAGAAGAAAAATGTGAATTTAGTTGATTTGGAGCAAAATGTAGTTACGCCATCTGTCCATTTGAGAAAACCATGTTTTATCAGGGCCTAAACGCAGCTGCAGGCCGCCGGGTCGCATGTAAGTGATGTTGGCTAAAACCAAAACTGAAGAAGTCTTCAGGAATGTTTGTCACTGGGGTCTCCACGTCGCACTGAGTGCATGAACTCTTTTTCGACAGAGACAGAAACCACCGTAAAAACTTTTTCTGCAAAACTGAGAACGTTTTTTCAAACTTTGCCGTTTCCATCAAGGTTTTTTCAAACGCATTACTTCAAAATGCTCATTAAAAAACGTTGATGGAAACTCGGCCATTGTCATATTATTTTTAGGCGAGAGATGAATAAAGTTATATATATACGATGTGCAAAACCTGCATTAATCAATTTATTTAAATAAAACGATATTTTTGAAGTTCCGACCTTCTTCTTCTGGTGGTCATTTTACCGTCTTTTAACTTTTTTACTTTATCTGTAAATGTTAATCTTGTTGACGTCTGCGTGACTGACAGTAAATGATCGGCATCTCTTACTCTGACAGGCTCCTCTCGGCGCTCTGTTGTCCCATCGCCGACTCTCCGTCGCGCACAGGAAGCTGCTGGCAGGAAGTGAGTTCTGGTAACCACGGTCACAGACGAGATCACAGCTCTGACGGCCGGCGGCCGGTGGGCGGCAGACCAGTGCACCATGGGTAACGGCGTAGTCGGGACAGAGAGGACCTGGAGAGGAGAACGACCACCAATTAAAGCAGCCTCCTCCGAGCTGCAGTTCCTGGAACGTCCACTAGCGGCTGCTGTGGGCTTCTTCCACTTTCAAAATAAAGCTAATATTCATGAGATACTGAGGCGCAAAGCGGGACGTTTGCACTCACGGTCACATGACGGCGTCCGTCCTGTCTGGCGAGGCGTTCGGGTGCCGCCCACTTCCTGCCCGTCCTCAGAGACGCACCAACAGGAAGTGGCATCACACTGCAGCGGGACGAAGGAGCCGTCGGGGCGGCACTGGTAACCCTGCAGCTCACACCAGCTGGGACCTGAACGCACCACACAGTAGTTTACCAGTTTACAGAGTGTCAGTGAACACATCGCTGACACGTGTGTGCGTGTCCGTGTGTGTGTACGTACATGTCAGCTGTCCTGCAGGGCTCCTTGTTGCCGCCTGTATGGTTTCTCCGGTCAGAGGGTTCACACACCAGCCTGCAGCGCCGCCTGTCTGCAGCACCGAGAAACGACCATCCTGAAACACAAATGCCCATAAATTCTGTGGCCAGATGAGATTTCAAAGAGTTTTTATACCTCTAAAGCTTTAAAGGAAGGAAAGCGATTAAACATCAGCTACAATCCTAAAGTAAAAGAATAACTGGGGACAGTTGCAGCAGCAGCGTTTACAACAGTTCCAAAACATACACAACTTCCACAAAACACAGGTAGGTTAATAAAATACAATAACACATTTACCAGAATCATGTTCAGAAGAAAGTACAAGTATATTTTCATTTTATAAATAAAAGGAGAAAATAGAAGCTTAAAAACGCGTCAAGTGATCCTGTTTAAACACTGTGTGTGTGTGTGTGTGTGTGTGTGTGTGTGTGTGCGCTCGTACCTCCTCACACTTTGGTTGGTAAGCTGAAGTGGTGATGAGGTCATATCCTTTCATCCAACCAGAGAGCAGCGTGTGAGCCTCAGCTCTCTGACAGCGAGTCAGACCTGCAGGACGACGCACACAGACATGTTGTTATGAATTGCTGTATGCACATGTCCCGCCCCCTCCCGCCTGTCCCGCCCCCTCATGCTAGAACGCCAATCATCTGCTTTCAACAGCCGAGCCGACGACTTGTTAAGCTAATCGTGTGGCTCCGCTGACGTCGGTTGCACGGTTGAAGTTTGCGTCAGGATCAGATGTCGCGGCGGCGGCGAGGAGGAGCAGGTGTGATCAGATTCTACATGACCGCCACATTACTGCGTTAAAGGCTCCACATGTGATCTGCAGTACTTGCAGTATGTGTTAGAAAACGCCGGGGTGCCTTCTGACGGGATCCAGAGTCTCAGTTAGCTTAGCATTTGTTCAATGCTCCGGTGGGAGGAGCTCATGGCGTCCCTCCCCGGCGCTCTGCATAGAGGTGTAAATGAAGGCGCTGTGGTGAAAGCTTGTGCGTGTGTAGCAGAAGTATAACCTGCGAGGAAAAACACTTTTTCAACCTTATTTTGGGGCAAAGTCATCAAAGAGTTTCAGAGACCTGATCCTGTTAGTCCATGATAGATGGCTGCCGAGCGGCGGGATGCGCCTGTTAGGACCCGAGTTCTACTTTAATCACTGCAATGTTGTGTGTTTTGGACCAGAACATGGATCCAGGAACAGGCAGGTCTGGCTGTGTGCAGCATGAGGTGCAGCAGGACCTCTAGAATCCTCTATAAACATTTAATATAATATAATGTTGTCTCACATTTCGGCAGGCGGAGCGAGCGGCCGGTCAGAGACCCGGGGACGTACTCTCCATCTTCATCAACACACCAACACTGACCTGAACACACACACGGAGGGATGAAGCGCCGTGAGAATCCCACATAACACACCTGCACATGTACTTTGAGTGTGTGTGTGTGTGTGTGTTACCTGTGCTGTGGTGACACTGTGTGTGCAGCCAGCGTCCGTCGGCGTCACACTGGGGAGTGAACAGCCGGTACGATCGACGCTGAGGAGGCAGGAACATCCGGACGGCTGCAAAACAACGACATCTCCGTCAGTAGTAATAATAATAATAACAACATCTTTTAAATACAGGTAACAAAGAGCTTTACAGCCAAAACTGTAAGACCGACAAATCCAATAAAAATCACACACAGCGAATAAAACATGAAACGAGTCTGTGTGCAGTTAAAGGAATAATAAATAATGTATCACGCTGTGAAAGTGAGATAAACCAGGACCAGACTGTAGGGGCCCTGACAGCAGAGACCTTGTCCCCTTTGGTTTTTAGGAATAGTTAGCTGTGGCCTAACTATATAAACTGCACATGAGAATTTTCCTTTTCGGTAAAAGAATATTGTTTATTTAGTCCACTAGAAAACTCAACAGCAGAAACTTTGTGTTGGAAAGTGTCAGATTAGGGCTGTGAGAGACACAATATTAGGAGCAGAAGACAAAAAGATCTTTAAACAGTGTTTCCTCAATGCTGAGATATGTGACACTTCATCTCCTGCATCCTGGTGAAAGTTTCTGCACCAAGTTATGGTGGAAATGTTTTTATTTGTATAAAAGGAAACTCATAATTCAGGTGGCAGGTGAGATTTCAAAATATATAAATATAACAGAATCTAAGTGAAAGCAGCTCTCGGTCGTTCTGTGCTGCTTTCAGATCTGTTTCTCCTGCAGATCAACTTTTCTCCTGTAACATCGTCCTGCTGAGGCAGGATTTAGTCTTCACACCTGGTCATGTTCACGGGGAGAGAACGGAAAACTTGCTGCTGCTCGTTTTTGGATCATTTTATTATCAGCAGCTTGTTTTACTATTTTTGGACGACGCACGTTTGTTTCTTCTATATTTTAATTGCATTGCATCTTTTCTTAGTGCAAATAAACATTTCTAAAGGCATTTTCATTTGTTATTTAACTGCAAAATGGTTTTCAGAACGTTTTTTAACAAACTGAAAAAGTGCTCAGCCTCCCCAGTGTAAATGACACCTATGGGGGGGGGGACAAACTTTATAGTTGGAAAAAGGGCAATGAATTGCAACACATCGCATTATGTTTAAAATTGGGAGAATATCGCATCATGGAGGCCTCTGGTGATTCCCCACCCCTCGCCTGCGTCCCGGCTCACGGGGATAGAAGCTCAGAGTCCTCGTCTGGCCTTAAAGTAATCAGAAGAATTTTAAAATCAGTCCAGGCAGCCAGTGCAGGATGCTAACAGCGGCGTGATGTTAGCATCCTGCTGGACAAACTGTAGGTGATGGACCTGATGGTGTAAAGGCAGTAACATTAGTCGAGGCAGAATGTTTTTAGGGGAGCTGCCCGTCAGTTTGCCCCCTGGCAGGAGGACACAAAGGCCGGGATCAGTTTCTCCAGAACTGGTGAGATTTCTTAAATGATAAAAACTTTCTGTCCTGGTGGAGGACGACCCTAAGATTGATCTGATGCTCAGATTAAGTTACTAAATACATGTTTGAACAGGTAATTAGTATTTCTGTCCGAGGACATTTTTAAAGTAACCTTCCAGGTGATTTTGAGCAGAAAAGAACAGAAACGCTGCTGAAGGATTCAGAAAATGATCTGCAGGAACAACAAAACACAGTTTTCAAAACTTCTGATTGAATTTTAAACATTAGTTTTTCTTAACTGTGACTCACTGGAGAAAGCAGCCAGTCGCAGAGCAGCATTAGAGCGGCTCAGCAGCCTATCGGAGATCTGCAGCTCCTCCTCTGATTGGCTGATCTGGAGCTCCTCTGGGGTCAGACGCAGACCTTCAGCCAATAGGAATCCATATCCCAGAGGGAAGCGGGAGGAGTTGGAGACTGTGACGACGCTCCTCACTTCCTGTCTGAACGCCGTGACCTCAGCTAACGCCCGAGAACACTGACCTGCAAGTTGGCATTACGTTAGCGTCGCTAACAGGTTAGCATACAGTGATGATGTCACATTTTACTCTGTGGAGACTAATATGGATAAAAATGCTTCTTTCATTTAAAACAAACCAGAAACTTAATTTATTTCTGAAGGGAAGCTGTGAAAATCATTTCTGTTGTTAATAAAATGAACTCAAGTGTCAGCAGCTTCACTCTGGTTTGATGAGTTGGTTTTCAGCAGTGACACAAGAACAGAAAAGAAAATAATCCCATAAATCTGTAAAATACAGAAACGTCTTCCAGAATCTCCATGAATGGATTTTAAGTTTGTTCTGACCTGCAGAGGACTGAAGCTTCTGCGTCCTTCTCTCTGGACCTGAAACAGAAACATCTTAAATCAACTTTCCTTCAGGACAAACTTTACATTTTTAGCCCCTCGACTGATCAGAGCTGAAAAATCTCCTGCATGTTAAGAAGATACTTTATTAGGTGCGTTTGACTTCATGCGGCTCGAAGCGAATTGTGTCCCAGACACAGAGTTTCACGTTGCTGCTTCTGCAGACGCTTCAATAAATCAGATGTAGAAATGTTCACAGCTGAAAGCTTTTTGCTGCTCGCACAGAGTTCAAAATAGACGACAGAGTTCTGGCAGCAGCTACTTCCAGCTGTGGACAGAACGCTCGCCTCGTTCTCCCGTCTTCATTTAGTTCTTGGTTCTCAGCGACATGAAAGGCAAAGAAAGCTGCAGGGACCATCTCTCCTGTCTTTGGACCGGTGGTTCCCAAGCTGAGGGTCGTGACCCCCACGAGGGCTGAAGGGTTGATGATTAACAGGAGAGCCAGTTTATACTTCTGCGTCGACGCTGACTACACGCCGTCCTTAGCATTTACACTTGTGCGTTACAGTTTCCTTCTTCTTCTTCGTTGGTGTCGGCTGCGAGAAACGGTGGCGGCTGAAAGTGAACGCATCGTGTTGAACATCAGTTACTTTTACCGAAAAGCAGAAAGGAGAGGAGATGGTGCGTTCGACCCTCAAACCACTCGAGGAAGAAGAAGAAGGACGAGCCGGAAACACGTTGGAGGAAATGCGACGCCACCAAGCCGACCAATCACAGTTCTTGCGGTTTGCGTCGACACAGGAGAATAAACAGGCCGTCAGTAGTTTCGCACATTTTCCTAAACTTTGAAAAATGAAGCATGTAAATGTTCAGCAGCTGTGACATGAGATGTTGGTCAGCAGTGATATCTTACAGGTGACGGCGCCCCCTGCTGGCCCCGCAGACACTGTTCTGCCCTCAGCGTCCACACAGAAGCAGCGTGGTCCCACGCACTGCAGCGGCAGGAAGTCTCCGTCCTCAGAGCACGCCGGGACGTGGATCTCAGCCCCGGCCGCCAGCTTTCCTTTCACCTTCAGCGCCATCGCTCGCTCTCTCTCGCAGCGGGACGGACATCGAGGTCGACGGCCGACGACACGCGACCCCGCCACCTCCTGACCCTGAGCGTCGACACACCAGCACTCTCCACCCAGACACTGGACCTCCTGGAAACCGCCGCTGGACGTGCAGCTCGGGACAAAGACGGCCGCCGTGTCCTCCTCCCCGTCTCCGGAGCAGGAACGCAGCAGAGGAGCCAGAACCTGCAGAAGAAGAGGAAGGAGGAGGAGTTTCAGAAGCAGCTGCTTCTGTTCAACATGTTTTCTTGGCGAATCTCTTTCACAGTGTGACAGTAGTACTTCAGTACTGTTACTTGGTACTTGTACTGCAGAAAAGGATCCGAGTACTGATGTGTGTTCCAGGTTGAAAGTCTCACCTGGTCCAGAGACTGCGAGCTGCTGAGCTCCCTCAGTGTCTGTTGGAGGGCCGAGAGGAAGGCCGGGTCCTCCAGAGCCCTGCTGACAGACAGGACCAGGTCCCGGTTCTTCCGGAGGCTGACGGTGACGCTCTGAGAGGAGAGCCGGTCCAGACCCAGGGCTCCTCGAGCTCCTATCGCCCCGCTGAAGTTAAAGGAGGCGGCGTTCTTCAGGAACTTCCCTCCGAACAGGTTCTCCTGGAGGCGACGGGGGGAGGAGCGAGCCAGAGCCTGCAGAGCCCCGCCCACCGAGGGGAAGAGACCGTGGAGGACTTCGACCAGCTGAGACAGGAAGGAGGTCGGATCCGCCTCCACCGGCAGGAGCTCCACGAGAGGACGGAGGAGGGGGAGACAGGAGGCCGGAGATCTGCCAGAGGAGGCCAGGATGGGCGGATCAACGGGACCGGAGAAGAGCCGCGACAGAGCCAGGCGACGCCGAGAGGGACAGTCGGCAAGACCTGAACCTGGAGGAGGAGGAGAGAGGAGAAGGGGAGGAAACAAGGGGGGAGGAGATGAAAGAGACCGAAAGGCGAGAGGAAGGACACGTTTCTGTCCACAGGCTGCAGGACACTCACTGCAGACCGGGGTGTCTCCCTGCTGTCGTGTCCCAGGAAGCTCCCTCCCCGTGGGGTCCACACACCAGCACTGCCCCCCCTGCTGGCACTGTCTGGAGGCGAAGGCTCCTCCGGTCTCACAGGACGGGACGAAGACGCTGGACGCCTCCATCGCTGCCCGCCGCTCCTCCTCACAGGGAGACGGACCTGAGAGAGACGGGCGTTTACATCTGTTAACCCGGTCTAAACTAGAACAGACGTTTAGATCCAGTGTTTAGACCGGTCTAATTCCAGGATCTCAGTAGACCAGCAGTCTAAACCAGGCGTCATGCAAAACTAGTTTAAACCAGAGATAACTGAAATGGTCAGTTTAACACTTTTAGGAAGCGTAAACCGGTTTGAAACTGTTCACATGTGCTAAAACCAGTTTAAACCAGTTTAAAGCCGTCAATATGGCCATGAGGAGTTTAAACAAATTTAATTCCAGGACAAATGTTTACACTGTGTAATTCAGTCTACTCCTCTTTCCAAGTTATAAAACCAGTTTAAACACGTTGAGAGCCACACGTGTGAAGTCCTGCATCTGTAACCAGCTTAAACAGTTTCATAAGACGCGTTTACATCTGAAGTGTCCGGTGAGGGCGAGCCGGACTCCCAGCATCCTCCTCCGCAGGACTCTGTAGATGTTGGTCTGAGAGAAGGAGCGACCGGACCGAAGACCGGAGAAGGCCGAGTCGTAGACCTCAGACAGGAGGAGCTCCACACCTGCAGAGGAAGTGCACACCTTCATCATCATCATCAGAGCGGTAAACCAGCATGTGTGCGCTCTAGTTCTTCTTTCTTTGTGAGCACCAATTTGTTTTTCAGACACTGACAGCGACGATGATAAAGTCTTTTTAGGCGGCGACCTTTATTATAAAACATAAGAAAAGAAAGACGACGTCACCGCCTGATGGACTGTCCCAAACCCAGACTGTCACAGACTTTATTCTGTCATTTTCTCTCTTTACAAAGTGTCTGAGAGTCTGAACGATACGAGCTCCACATACAATATCATTTATGAACTCAGCAGGATCCACATGAGATAACGTCCGGTTTTCAAATTGAGGTGTTAACACAACGTAAATACAGGATGGAGATGAGATTAACTGGATTATTATGTTCACAGGAAGAATAAAACACGTTACATGTGTCCATTAAAAATAAACAATAAAATGTTGGGGAGGTTTGCAGGTAAAACATTTAATAAATTTGTTGACTTATCTGCTGTTTCATCACCATTTCTATCTAAACGTTTATGATCAGATTGTTTAATAGAGCACAAAACAGTTCTCAAGGGTGCAAACAGATCTAGCTTCTCAATTTTGCTTTTAAAGGCCACCAGATTAATGCATTTAACATTTCTAACACTGCAAAGTGTGCGTTTGTGTTTGTACCTGTGTTGTCCAGCTCTCTGCCTCTGCTGTCAGAACAGAAGCAGTACGAGGAAACCGTCGGGAAAAACTTCCTGAAACTACTGAACGTCTCAAAGGCTTCTGGGAACCTGAAGCAACACAAACACACAGAAACACACACTGAAATACTCGGACGAGCAATGTGACATATTTTCTTTTCTTTTTATTGTTTGAAATAACAGTTTTATAAAAATACTGGACACTCGTATCAGATCGCTGCTCGTCCTGATCAGGTCGTCCTCACGTTACGAAGGAAGAGAGCTTGAGAGAAAGAGGACGAGTGAAATAGCTCAGTGACCACTGAGCTGTGGAAACGGAATTTAAGTCACGTTAGATACGCGTGTTGAAAGTAAACCATGGAGAATAATCTTGTTAACTTTAAATCCCGTCTCCACCACCTGCTGTTCTGAAAACGCCTAGCTGGGAGCGCTAGGGTGCGTTTTGGAGGCGGTGTATTTTTTCGAGACGCTGTGGTTGCTATGATACATAATTTCCGTGGAGGCGATGTGCTGCAAGTAGCCTACTTAATTTCAGTGAATGTAAAAATGTCACCACAAAGTACGTAGGCCTGCTGGCTCTGCATGAAGAGAAGGCTGAAACATGAGAGCACAGACTCTCCGTACGTGGGTTCACCTCGGCAAGTAGGCACATCGCTTTGTTCAAGCTCTGTGTGGTGTTTGTCCCGCCCCTCCTGCACTGTGATTGGACGGCTGGGTAAAGTGGTAAGTGACAGTGACGAGCGCAGCGTTTTTCCCCAAAGTTGAACATTTTTTCAACTCTCGGCGACTGGAAAAACGCTCCGTCACGCTCCTGCCGTTTTTACCAGCTGGTAAAAACACGGCGCTCCCATTGGAATGAATTGAAAAAAAAGACGCTGGCGTCATAAAAAAACATTTTGGTGGACACGGGCCCTAAAGAAGCAAAGGTGAAGAAAGCGGCACATCCACCAGGGACGGGAATCACCAGAGGCCCCACGATACGATATATTGCAATTTATCACCTCAAATTGTTTCCACAAATGAAAACTCTTTTCTATTGGACTGAAAACGCAAATGCTTTTATTATTATAGCACCAAAAAGTAAAATTGTCATGGACAATTTATATAACAAAAGATCGAAAATATCACAATACTACGCTGTATTGACACACATTGTCTGTTATCATCATATTTCAACTTTTTTTATTAATTAGTTCTTGTATTTATTTATGTGTGTGTTTTAATATTTTTTGTCTGTTTAATTCTCGCTTTATTTATTTCCCCTGTGGTATTTATTTCTGCCCGTCCTTTTTACATTTCTCTATGCATTTATGCCTCATTATGCAAATGAGGAGGGGCGGGGTCTCAAGGGGTGAATAATTTAATTACTGCCTACATTTATTAATTACTTAATTTTTTGTGCATTTAATAGGATGCTTATTTATTTATTTATTTCTTAATCTGTCAGGATCGGTCCTCCATACACCCCGAACATCCACCTGATCACACCAGCGATCGCTCGGAGACAAGTGCTGAAGCACAAATAAAAGTGGACAGAGACACAAAGAAAAGAAGACGCACGCTCTTCTCTGTGTCGCCGTGTCGCTTGCGAGCAACAACATGCAAATTTGTGTCCAGATCTGGTAACAAAAAGGATCAAATGCAGTACTAGTTTGACTGGAGAAGTTCCGATACTACTTGGTAGCGGGTTATTTCTAGCTTAAAAGGTATCGAGCACATCGGTACCCAGCTTTCAGAAATACCCACAGGCAGGTGAGTTACCTGTTGAAGGTGTCCAGCAGGTCCAGCTCTGCTCTGTCGGTCATGTTGATGAACCGACACTGGACCGGCAGGAAGCCGCCGTCTTCGGCGCACTGAGGAGGAGAAGGAGACCCGGAGCCGTGGAGCAGACGCCTGGACCTCACCTCACAGCCGCCAGGACCTGCAGGGTCAAAGGTCACGCCGCTCTGATGAGATCAGTTCATTCAAACACACAGCTGGGTTTTGTACTGAACTAAGAACCAATCAGAGGTGCTGTTTCTGGAGGTGAGCCCCACCTGTTTTATACTCCGTCTGATTGGCCACACAGTAAACTAAGTATACTAACTGGATAGTACATTGTGTGTACTATTAGTATAATGTATGGAAACAGTCAGTTGTCTCTTCTAGTAGAATGAGTGAGTAGTATTATGAGTATTACTATCAGTAGCAGAGGTAGTACATATTGTCAGCAGCAGTATTACTATCAACGGTGTCTATAATATCATGTAGTATAGTAGAAGTATCAGTAGTATTTGTACATACAGCGGCGAGGAGTCCCGTTCTGTCTGGTCCCGTAGAGCTCCATGCCGTCCTGGTCCACACACCAACACTGCCCCCTGCTGGAGTCACACTGAACCGGCTCAAAGAGTCCTGAAGGAGAACAACGCAGGACCGACTGCAGCTGGCAGGGAGACGCACCTGCAGACAGGTAGAGACAGAGAGAGACAGACAGAGAGACAGGAAGAGAGAGAGAGAGATGGAGAAGCATCCCATTGAAACACAACATGAAGATTTCTGCAGAAACGTCCTACACATTCTCCAAAAAAATGCATATAGAGCCGAATTAGTGTGGTTTCCGCTGATGATAGATCTCCAAAATAGAGCCCTAAACTTTCTGATGCACCTCTGATCAAATGCCCAAGACTCCCTCCAGTTCAAGGCTCTTAAAACCCTGAAAAGAGTCCCTCATGCCAGCTAGTCCTGAGACAGATCCTGATCCTGCAACTCTCTGAACACCAGTTAGAGGAAACCAGATGATCACTCAAAGTAAAAATACTCATTTGGATCATTGGGAGGAAAAAACAACTGTCAGAGATATCAAGCAGAGTCCAGCCCTCAGAGACCCTGAAACAGGTTACCTGAAGAATACAGATTCTGTGAGATGAGATAAATATAGAAGCATAAGACAGCAATATTTAGAGAAATGCCATCTATTAAAATCAGATTTCAAAGAAGATAACAATAAATAAAGAAAAACCCCAGGAGAAAGAGACGTATGTGTCTCTGTGTCCCAACCTGGGGGACAGCGAGGGACTCGGCGAGCTGCTGCAGGTCACATCTGGTTACTTCCTGTTCGTAGTTTACCTTCTATCTGTATTTGTTCTTTTGTTAACTTATAACCGCTAACTTGATGGTCTTGATTGCATCAATTCTTGTTATGTTATATTTAAATCTAAACTTTTTGATTTTGCTTCAAACTGCTTTGGCGACATCGTTTAACAGAAACATTCTTGCTGCCAATAAAGAAATCTGAACAGAGAGAGAACAGCACACTGAACTTTCATTGTGTGTCTGCATTTTATGGCTTTAGCTTATCGCTAAACTTCTGCTCTCTGGCTGACCTCACTGACCTTATGGTCGCAACCGCAACCACAAACCCGGATTAAACCAGTCCAAACCAAGAAGGAACTCTTAGCTCCTCTATCTGTTGACCATGAAAAACCCTCTCCATCAGTCAGCTGCAGAAGCATTAATAAAACCAGATTTCAGATTTCCAATCCAAGAATCAGTCAGACAGAGCGAGATGAAATAGAAGTGAGTTTAAGTTTTAAATATTATAATGACGTAAATGTTAAAGCAGACCTATTAAACTGCTTTTCCAGTCCTATATTGTAGTTCTGTGACGCCTGTATGGCAGCTTTGCATGATTAAATTTTTTTTTTCTTATGCTGATTCTTCATGTAGGCCTTCATTTCAGCCTCTGTCTGAAACGAGCTGTAGATGCTCCTGTCTCTTTAAGACCCCCTCTCACAAAGCCCACTGTCTTCTGATTGGCCAAGAGCTGAAGCATATTACCAGGCTGCTGTTGTTGCTGGGCGGAACAGGCAGACGGAGCTTGCTGTGCAGAGCAAATGACCATATATGGAACAGCGGCTGACCCTTTGCTCCAGTGTAAAGTAGTGAGCGTGCAGCTTGTATAACAGCGTAAATTTGCTGTCCCCTCAAAATAACACATCACACAGCCATGGACACAGGACGGGCCCAGCACGTCTCCAGACCTGAACCCTACTGAGCATCTGTGGGGCTCCTCAAACGGAAGGTCTCTAACATCCACCAGCGCCGTGATGTCATCATGGAGGAGTGGAGTATGACTCCAGTGGCAACCTGTGAAGCTCTGCTGAACTCCAGGCCTTAAGAGCGTTAAGGCAGCGCTGGGAAATAATGGTGGCCCCACAAAATATAATAAAACCCTTTGGGCTCAATGTGGACATTTTCACATTTTGACCTCACTTTTGTTGCCAGCGGTTTAGACATTAACGGCTGTGTGATGTGTTATTTTGAGGGGACAGCAGATTTACACTGTTATACAAGCTGCACACTCACTATAGTGTGTGTGTATATATATATAACTGTATAACTGGTTAATGGTAAGTATTATAAATACATTTAAACTGGAAAAAATACTTTCACTTTGTCTGCTTTAGTTGTTTTTTTAGGATAGAATAAAATCTATAATTTTATTTCCAGTTAATCTCACAGAACCAGCTGTGATCGTTAAATGTGTGCTGTCGTGTTTCTCACATTGAGGAGGAGCAGAGCCGCTGGTTCGAGTCCCGACGACCTCCTGACCTTCAGCATCCACGCACCAACACTCCTGACCCCGCCCACTGCACTGCACAGGTCTGCGCACACACACAGACACACACACTTTATTTATTGATATTGAATCAAACATTTTGTTATCAAACTTGAAAAGAAACATGATGATGGGACGTGATTTGCTTTAATATGCTGATAAACATCTTCTGCCACCTAAAAATGTCAAAAGATGGACGAAGATTCAGTTTGTCCATTTTAACCCTCTTTGGAAATCAGTTTGATTAATACCTCAGGAAAAAGGATAACATGAGGTCGGCTTATGTAAACCTGTGTGGTAGATGGAACAATTATGTTTCTAACGTCTCAAACTTTCTGCTAAATTTATTTCTAATTATTTCCTGAACGGCGTTCTTTAACATCGATGTAGAAAGAGAAAGATACAAACCTGAACCTGCCATCCTCCGTGCAGTGAGGAACGTCACCCTGTTGCTTTGCAACAGCCACGCCCCTTAGCGACTCACATCGGCTCAGGGTCTCCGACTCCAGCTGGTACTCTGGACGACAACAACAACAACATCATCTTCATCATCAGGAAACAGGCACATCAGCAGCCAGACCAGGGGTCTCATTTATGTACGTACAAAACAGGGCTGGAAACGTGCGGGCGTCACTTCCCAAGCAAAGGTTGTGATCCAATGTGCGTCCTGTCAGTAAACTCTGAACCATGCAGGAATCAGATTAATTAATACCTGCATGCAGCAATTTATTCTCATAAATAAGGTGAACAGGAGGACAGATTTTACTTAAACTGATGCTGTTTTCAGTGAGTCAGTCGAGCAAATACGAGAGCAGAGTTTCATGTATTGTTTTCACATGTTCGTCGCCTTATGGAGCCAAACGCTGAGGCCGGCGTGTGGATGAGATGCGCTGCCTGTAAAAACATGTTACGGAAAATAAAACACTATTTTATGTCATTTCTTTAACTCGTCAGCAGCCTCGTTCAGCGAGCCGACTGTTTGTGTAAAAAAAATAAATGTTCAAACACAAGTGGAATGGGATCCAGATCAGTACCTGGGTCGTCCCGTCTGTGTGGCCCCCTCCAGCCAGCGGGGGCCCTTTCCTCTGACTGGGGCAAGCGTTGTGTGAAAGTGCGTTTTTTACCCACCAAACAGCTTCAGCTTCACCAAAAGGAACGAGTTAGATTCACTGAGTTAGATTCAGACTCTGCCTCCTTTTCTTCCTGCAGTCAGGACGCATTAATATTAACGAGCTTCACTGAGCCATTTTTGTCTTTTGGGCGCACGGATACTTTCAGTGAGGTTTCTACGCACAGTTTTATAAATGAGAGCCCTGGTCCCCCTAAACACTGAAGATGAAATCATCAGTTGAGCAGCTGCTGATTTTAGTTTTAGTTCACAAACTGAGTCAATGATGTTTTTATTTTGTCCTGTAAAAGAAAACTTTTTAAATAAATTTAAAATGAAAACAGCAGCTCGTTGAACACGCCGTTTCCTCACAATGCTCTGCGCGCCGGTGCTGAACGCCAACCTCTCCTGCCACCCAGCGTGATCAGCAGCCAATCAGGAGAGACGACGGTCACGTCAGATGCCAGTAAAGGTATTAAAACATGAGACATGAGACCTATAGCTACTAAAAAGAAAATCTTCTAAATAAAGAATCTGTTTCCAGTCAACTTATTCTTTTTCTGGTATTTTGGTCAGGCCCACATTCACAGTCCTGCTGCGCCACATACTCTTTAGAGCAACACGTGGATTCATGCGCCGCTGAAAATAGTCTCAAAGAAATACAAAACAAATTTCCTCCTGTTTGTCTGACAGAAACTACAGCGAGCAGCTGTTTGAGGACATTACTGAGCTTTTTAAACATGAAACTGTATATTTGTGAGGAGATTTTTAAGGTTTACGTCTTCAGGAGGAGCCACAGTGCTGAGAGACAAGTTGCTGGTTTGAGTCTGAGATTTGTTCTAGAAACAGAATCATGTCAGACTTGTTTACCTGAAGCTTTTCCCTGCAGCAGCTCCGGGCAGCAGACCAGGAAGCAGGCGATGTGGAGCAGCCAGGCCATTCTCTCTCTGTGGTGACGGACTGAGCGCCGCCGCCTCTTTATAAACCTGCAGACCTGCTGAGTCACCGTGAGGACGACCGACAGAACTCGCCTTCATCCCTCCTCCTCCTCCTCCTCCTCTTCTCCGTCCTCGTCTGTCCATCTCGGCGGAACCAGGAGCCCTCGACCACGACTCAGGAGGGGGCCAGCGAGCCGTGACGCCCTCTGATTGGACGAGAGGATCTCTGAAACACAGACGACGGGAGGGTTAGCGTCCAGCGTGACGTCTGTTATTTTTATTCCAGCACAGTGAAGCGGTCCCACCTGAGCACCAGGTGAAAAAGGGTTTTCCACACTGACAGAACATCTGTGGTAAAAGGACAAATATTTCCTCCATCACAGGAAGGTTTGTATTCTGGTTCAGCTTCTTTCACTAAAGTTTTTAAAACGAGAGTGGAGAAGATGAACACACACACACACACCAAGTGAATTCACTAAATAAACATTGATTAATAAAACCAGCTGTGTGACTGATGAAACAGAGCTTCACAATCACTCTTCAGACGTCACAAAGATTTATACGGCCTTGACACCTCAGACTCTTTCTGACCAAAATAAACCAGGAAATGTTCTCACTTATTATATTTGGTATTTTCTTCCTTAGAAGATAAAACAGGAAGTGAGATAATATATATTTCCAGCAGCCTCTGAGCTTCGACGTCAGTCGGTGTCTTTATCAGCTCTGCTGCAGTTTGATCATTTGAACAAGAAGAAAGTTTAATCAATTAAAAACCTAAGGATGGCAGTTTGGGACAAAAAGGTTCCCTGGGGCTTCCTGTTAATGCTGACAGGTAAGACATGGACTTTATGCTACATTAATGTTTTCTCAAACACTACACGTCTTTACTGATATTTTTCCCATCAACTGATCAAATCCAGAAACAAGATCATGAAGCTCTGAAACTGTTCTTCTGTTTTCTGTTTCAGTGCTGGACGACACTTTAACTGTCTCTCTCTGCATCTTCTAACTCAGCCGCCATCACTGCGCTGTTTTGTTTCAGGTGCTGTGGGTGTTGGTGTGAACTATCCAGCTCCTGTTTGTGCTGTGACAGGATCGACCGTCACCCTCCTCTGCACCTTCACACCTCTGAGGTCTGTCGGTCAGGATGGAAGAGAAGTTTCTACAGAGATCATCAGAGTCGTCTGGTGCCGGAACCATCAGATTTGTCAGGGCTCTACCCCGTCTGTGTTTGACAGCAGTTCAGGAAACAACAACCCTCGTTACAAATACCTGGGAGACAAGAAGGGAAACTGCACTTTACAGATCACAGATGTGCAGAAGGAAGACGAGGCAACTCTTCACTTCAGAATAGAGGCTAATGACAGCAGAGCACATTTTACTGGACAACCAGGAGTGAACGTCACAGTCTCTGGTAAGAGCATCACATGATAAAAAACATCAGCAGCGAATATTAATAATCATTTATATTCTGTTCAAACTTTATGTAGCGCTGAGTCAGAAACAGCCTGTTCATATTCACACAGTTACAAACAGTCACAGCTAAAAGCTGCATTTTGGACTCATCAAGAAGGAGTTGATCATCACTTCCTGTGTCCCCAATGTAGATGTGTTCAGGGACTCTAATCAAGCATCGAGCGTGTCCAGGTGCTGGTCATATAATTAGAATGTCATCAAAAAGTTGATTATTTCAGTAATTCCATTCAAAAAGTTAAACTTGTATAATTTATACATTCATTCCACACAGACTGATATCTTTCAAAATTTGAATACTGTGAAAAGGTTCAATACTGAAGACACCTGGTGCCACACTCTAATCAGCTAATTAACGCAAAACACCTGCAAAGGCTGTCCAAAAGACGACCATTGACACCTTGCACAAGGAGGGCAAGACACAAAAGGTCATTGTAAAGAGGCTGGCTGTTCACAGAGCTCTGTGTCCAAGCACATTAATAGAGAGGCGAAGGGAAGGAAAAGATGTGGTAGAAAAAAGTGTACAAGAAATACAGATAACCTGGAGAGGATTGTGAAACAAAGGCCATTCAAAAATGTGGGGAGATTCACAAAGAGTGGACTGCAGCTGGAGTCAGTGCTTCAAGAACCACCACGCACAGACGTATGCAAGACATGGGTTTCAGCTGTCGCATTACACAAGACACAGCGTCAGAAGCGTCTCGCCTGGGCTAAAGACAAAAAGGACTGGACTGCTGCTGAGTGGTCCAAAGTTATGTTCTCTGATGAAAGTAAATTTTGCATTTCCTTTGGAAGTCAAGGTCCCAGAGTCTGGAGGAAGAGAGGAGAGGAACAGAATCCACGTTGCTTGAAGTCCAGTGTAAAGTTTCCACAGTCAGTGATGGTTTGGGGCCAAAAGAACTATGGTCCTAGGATTGCAGGGGTCTTGAAACTGCAGCCTCCCGTACTGCAGCTACATAATATTAATTAATTGCATTTTGGTATGGAGGAATTATTGGGTCAGAACTAAAACTAAAAGTCGAAATCAGAAACTAAAAGTCAAAGTTGAAAATGAATTTGGTATTTAGGATTGGGCATTTAGTCATTTAGAATTGGGTATTTGGGAAATAGGGATTTGGCGATTGAGTCGTGTATGCAAATGAGGAGGCGTGACCCAAAGGCTGCAGGGAGGGTTTGGAACAGCTGAGGCGCAGAGGCACTTTATGGACTGCCGCCACCTAAAATCAATGCTTTAAGTGGAAAAAGGACTGGACGATATGGCCAGAAATCTTATCAATTTTTTTCAATTTGATAAAAAGTTTCACATCATTGGATATCGATAATTATAATAATAATAAATGTTAAATCATTGTTTCTTTCAAGTTTAATGGCAGATTTTTGCTCCTGAGTGAAAGTTGGGGAAACCAGACAGTTAATTGTGCCACTTAATGACAAACAGTGGACACAAATCTACAAATCTAAGCAGAGAACATGTAATAGTTGCCTATTCTGCCTTCAGGTACAGCTTTTAATGGGGACAAACAGTTATCGAGGAACAGGTAAAGAAAATGCTCAGCACTGGTATCATAGAGCCTTCCACTTCTGCTTGGGCCTCCCCAGTGGTTTTGACACCTAAAAAAGACGGAACTCCGCGTTTCTGTGTAGACTTCAGGGGACTTAATGCTAAAACACACCATGACGGGTACCCCATGCCACTGATTCATGAAATTTTGGAGTCCATGCACGGAGCACAGTACTTCAGCTCGCTTGACCTCCAGAGTGGGTACTGGCAGGTAGCCATGGATGAGGAAAGCAAGCAAAAAACAGCTATGATCACCCACCTAGGCCTGTTCCAGTTCAAGGTCATGCCGTTTGGTCTGAGGAATGCTGGTGCCACCTTCCAGCGGTTGATGGAAAGACTCATACTACAGAGACTGTTCTTCAGGGGGCGCTAGCGAGCCCATTTGTGACGCTTATGCATATGAAAAGATGACGTAAATTTTTGTTTCAACAGGGCCCTCTCATGTTTCATGCTCTTAATACTCATATACTGATACTAACAATAATAAAAAGTATCCACGGGGTCCAAAAGTATTCGTTTCAGCACTACAAAAACTCAGTGAGTGACTTTAAATGGTGATTTCAAGCTCTGCCAAGTCTCAAACATCACTTTGATAAAAACGAAAAGGACTTTTATAATGAAAATGTATTTTAAACTCATTCAGATGGGACTAGAATGCAGATAAAGAGCTCCAGAGGAGACAGAGAGCTGAGAAGAGGTGAAAACGTCACTCTGTACTGCACTGCACTCTGTACCTTCCACCAACTGGAGGTCACCTGGTTCAGAGATGGCCACGCCCTCTCAGAGTCTGGCCCCGCCCTCCACATCATCCCTCTGACTGCAAGGGATTCTGGGACGTACACCTGTGGTTTGAAGGCCAGCGTCAGCAGCCTCTCCCTGCCGTACAGCCTGAAGGTGGAGGAAGAAGGTTTGTTTGCTCACAGTTACTGAACACAGAAACCTGCACCTGGATTTTACATGGACATGGAAATGACACTCTGATTCATGTAATTCATGTTACACCCAGAACACATCTAGATTAACTAAGAGACTACATACAGCACCTTTACGCCTTGTGTTTCACTTTGCACTCAGATTATGACCTTTTTAACTTGGAAAAGTGTCCTAGATATACTTGCGCCATGAACTCTAGACCCTGTGCTATAGACCGTTTAAAGAGAGCCCAGGTTAATAATAATAATAATAATAATCTTTATTTGTAGAGCACTTTTCAAAAACAAGTTACAAAGTGCTTTAACAAGTGTAAAGACAATAATACCCAAGAGACAATAATACAAAAACAATACAAGATAAAAGCATGAAAACATTGAAAAGACTAAAATACACGTTTAAGATAAATATAAAACAAGTAAAATAGAATAAAATAAAAGGGATAAAATGAAGTCAAATAAGATCGGGAAAGGCTCTCCAATAAAAGTATGTTTTAAGAAGGGACTTAAAAGAGTTCACTGACTCAGCCGACCTGATTTCCTCGGGCAGGCTGTTCCAGAGCCTCGGGGCCCTGACAGCAAACGCTCTGTCCCCTTTAGTTTTCAGTCGAGACTCTGGAACAGACAACAGACCTCTGCCCGAGGATCTCAAGGTACGTGCTGGTGCGTATGGGACTAAAAGGTCAGAAATATAACAAGGCGAGAGGCCATGAAGAGCTTTAAAAGTGATCAATAGAATTTTAAAGTCAATTCTAAAACATACTGGGAGCCAGTGTAATGAAGCTAAAATAGGAGTAATGTGGTCATATTTCTTTGTTCTGGTTAAAAGCCTGGCAGCTGAGTTCTGGACAGTCTGGAGTCGATCAATAGATTTTTGGGTTAAACAGGTTAAAAGGCTGTTGCAATAATCCAGGCGTGATGAGATGAAGGTGTGTAAAATGGTCTCGGTGTCCTTAAAAGTTAACATAGATCGAATTTTAGCTATATTTCTAAGTTGATAAAAACATGATTGAACAAGCTTTGTGGTGTGCTACTCGAAATTTAAATTACTATCAGACCAAACACCAAGGTTCTTTGCCACAGGCTTAATGTGATTTACTAGGGAACCAGCAGATGGCAGTATTTGATTTGCCATCTGCTGGGACCCGATGACCAGGATTTCTGTTTTGTCTGAGTTCAGCTGGAGGAAATTATTTGACATCCATTTTTTCTTCACAAAGGCAGTTGTTAAGTGAACTCAGCATTCCAGGGTCTGTGGATCTGACGGGCAAGTATATTTGTGTGTCATCAGCATAAATATGAAAAGAAATGCCATGTTTATGGATAATATGTCCAAGGGGAAGCAGATACAAGGAAAACAAAATGGGTCCTAAGACCGACCCCTGAGGCACACCATATTTAACTGGACAGAATGAAGAGACATAGTTGTTTACAGACACGCAAAACTTCCTATTTGACAGGTAGGATGAAAACCATTCTAGGGCCGTACCAGAGATCCCCACCCAGCGCCTCAGTCTGTCTAACATGATGTTGTGATCAATGGTGTCAAAAGCAGCACTAAGGTCCAGGAGTACAAGGACCGAGCACATGCTTTCATCAGCAGACATTAAAAGGTCATTGGTGACTTTAAGCAGGGCAGTCTCAGTGCTGTGGTACTTCCTGAAACCAGACTGAAACTTTTCAAATAATTTGTTATTTTCCAGCACAGTGAGCAGCTGTTTGGACACAATTCTTTCTAAAATCTTTGCAATAAAAGGCAGTTTTGAAATTGGTCTAAAATTATGTAGGAGGGAGGGATCTAAACCAGGTTTCTTTAAAGGTGGGTTCACGCAAGCCGTTTTAAAATAATCAGGGACACAACCAGTAGATAGGGAGCTGTTGAAAACAGAGATCAAACGGGGCCCAACAGAATCCATTACTTTCAGTAAAAACTTTGTAGGTATTACATCAAGTGGGCTGGAGGACACTCTCATTTGTGATACTGTTTTTAAAAGTTCAGACAAGTTGATGGGATAAAACTGGTTAAAACTCTCTTGTTGCTGTTGAGGAACCTCTGAGTAAGAGGCCGCGGGGGTAATAGAGGCTCTGATTGACGCCACCTTATTGGTAAAATAAGATAAAAACAATTCACAGTCATCATTACTTCCAGCTGAGGCACAAGGAGGGGTTGGGTTTACCAGCTGATCCACAGTCTTAAACAGAAACCTGGGATTGTGTTTATGTGTAGTAATGAGTTCAGAAAAATAGTGTGTTCTCGCATCCTTAACCATGTTATTGTAGTTAATTAATAAATCCTTCAGACTGAGGTAATGGACTTGGAGACTGGATTTTTTCCTGCATTCCCTTTTTAGGCTGCGAATGCTGTCATTTATCCAGGGTTGCTTACTAGCTTTAGACGTAGGCCTAACCTTTAGAGGAGCAGTAATATTTAGTGACGACAAGCAGATATGATTGAAGTGATCGACCAGATTGTTGGTGTTGGAATCAGACAGGTGTTGGCTTTGGCTCTGAAAGAATGCGCAAAACTTTGAAACACTTTGTTCATTAAAGATGCGAGAACACACGGAGCTTGGTGAGGCGGCATGAGTAACAGGCGAATCGCAGCTAAAAACAATACATCTGTGGTCAGATATGGTCATGTCCACTAATTCCACAGAGGAAATGCTGACACCCAGGGTAAAAACCAAGTCCAGTGTATGACCACGGTTATGTGTTTGATCTTTGACATGTTGTTTGAAGTTAAAAGAAGTGGCCATATTTAAAAAGTCAGTTGCATTAACATTGTTGGGGTCATCAACATGAATATTAAAATCGCCACAAAGAACAATTCTGTCATAATTTACTGTCATAGGTTACTGTATTTTATGTTAAAGTTTTCTTAAACACTACATATCTTTGCTTATATTTTGTCACAGTTTTCACATCAAAATGATCAAATCCAGAAAAATTATTGTGAAGTTGTAAGAAACTGTTCTTTAGTTTTCTGTTTCGGTGCTGGAGGACAATTTTAATGCGTCACTCTGCATTTTCTAAATCCACATATTTCCTCCCTGAACTCAGCCGCCATCACTGCGCTGTGTTGTTCCAGGTGCTGTGGGTGTTGGTGTGAACTATCCAGCTCCTGTTTGTGCTGTGACAGGATCGACTGTCACCCTCCTCTGCACCTTCACACCTCTGAAGTTTTTCATTCAGAATGGAAGAGCAGTTTTAATCGAGATCATCAGAGTCGTCTGGTGCCAGAACGATGATTATTGTCAGTTCCCTGCCCTGTCTGTGTACAACAGCAGTTCACAAAACAACAACCCTCGTTACAAATACCTGGGAGACAAGAAGGGAAACTGCACTTTACAGATCACAGATGTGCAGAAGGAAGACGAGGGAAGTCTTCGCTTCAGAATGGAGGCTGACTACACCAGAGCACATTTTACTGGACCTCCAGGAGTGAACGTCACAGTCTCTGGTAAGAGCATCACATACAGTGGGTACGGAAAGTATTCAGACCCCTTTAAATTTTTCACTCTTTGTTTCATTGCAGCCATTTTCCAAAAATCAAAAAAGTTCATTTTATTTCTCAGTAATGTACACTCAGCACCCCATCTTGACAGAAAAAAAAAACAGAAATGTAGAAATTTTTGCAAATTTATTAAAAAAGAAAAACTGAAATATCACATGGTCATAAGTATTCAGACCCTTTGCCGTGACACTCATATTTAACTCAGGTGCTGTCTATTTCTTCTGATCATCCTTGAGATGGTTCTACACCTTCATTTGAGTCCAGCTGTGTTTGATTATACTGACTGGACTTGATTAGGAAAGCCACACACCTGTCTATATAAGACCTTACAGCTCACAGTGCATGTCAGAGCAAATGAGAATCATGAGGTCAAAGGAACTGCCTGAAGAGCTCAGAGACAGAATTGTGGCAAGGCACAGATCTGGCCAAGGTTACAAAAAAATGTCTGCTGCACTTAAGGTTCCTAAGAGCACAGTGGCCTCCATAATCCTCAAATGGAAGACGTTTGGGACACCAGAACCCTTCCTAGAGCTGGCCGTCCGGCCAAACTGAGCTATCGGGGGAGAAGAGCCTTGGTGAGAGAGGTAAAGAAGAACCCAAAGGTCACTGTGGCTGAGCTCCAGAGATGCAGTCGGGAGATGGGAGAAAGTTGTAGTAAGTCAACCATCACTGCAGCAATCCACCAGTCGGGGCTTTATGGCAGAGTGGCCCGACGGAAGCCTCTCCTCAGTGCAAGACACATGAAAGCCCGCATGGAGTTTGCTAAAAAACACCTGAAGGACTCCAAGATGGTGATAAATAAGATCCTCTGGTCTGATGAGACCAAGATAGAACTTTTTGGCCTTAATTCTAAGCGGTATGTGTGGAGAACACCAGGCACTGCTCATCACCTGTCCAATACAGTCTCAACAGTGAAGCATGGTGGTGGCAGCATCATGCTGTGGGGGTGTTTTTCAGCTGCAGGGACAGGACGACTGGTTGCAATCGAGGGAAAGATGAATGCGGCCAAGTACAGGGATATCCTGGATGAAAACCTTTTCCAGAGTGCTCTGGACCTCAGACTGGGCCGAAGGTTTACCTTCCAACAAGACAAGACCCTAAGCGCACCGCTAAAATAACGAAGGAGTGGCTTCACAACAACTCCGTGGCTGTTCTTGAATGGCCCAGCCAGAGCCCTGACTTAAACCCAATTGAGCATCTCTGGAGAGACCTGAAAATGGCTGTCCACCAACGTTTACCATCCAACCTGACAGAACTGGAGAGGATCTGCAAGGAGGAATGGCAGAGGATACCCAAATCCAGATGTGAAAAACTTGTTGCATCTTTCCCAAAACGACTCATGGCTGTATTAGATCAAAAGGGTGCTTCTACTAAATACTGAGCAAAGGGTCTGAATACTTATGACCATGTGATATTTCAGTTTTTCTTTTTTAATAAATTTGCAAAAATTTCTACATTTCTGTTTTTTTCTGTCAAGATGGGGTGCTGAGTGTACATTACTGAGAAATAAAATGAACTTTTTTGATTTTTGGAAAATGGCTGCAATGAAACAAAGAGTGAAAAATTTAAAGGGGTCTGAATACTTTCCGTACCCACTGTATATTAATAATTATTTATATTTTGTTCAGCCTTTATGTAGCACTGAGCCAGAAACAGCCTGTTCCCCTTTAGTTACAAACAGTCACAGCTAAAAGCTGCTCAGTGCAAACCACCACAGGATCCATCAGCTGTGAACCAGGGTTTGTCATTGTTCTAACTCCCCTGGTGGTGGTATTAGGACTGAACGATTAATTGCATTTGCGATATTATCACGATGTAATAAAACGAGATATTTTAATCGCAAAGGCTGCGATTACACTCTGGTCACATGACACCCACACGGAAAACAGTCTGCAGACGGAGTTGCTGCTTCGTCTGCACGTTACGCTCTACCTTGGCTTCTTGTTGTACAACAGCCTTAAGCTTTAGTGTCACACAGGGAATGAAAGTAGCAGCTGTCACCCACGGGTAACTTGGTGGTGGGTGAAATCGTCGGGCCACCCGCCGCTTTGATGGACAAGAAAAATGCACTACAGAAAGACACGTGTAGTACGGTAAGAGTACTGTGGCGATCGGCGCCAGCGTCACACACACAGCCACCAGTCAGCTCAGGAAATATCTGTGAAACGGCGTTTCAAACCAAACGCACAAGTCCGAAAGAGGCCCGGCCTGTCCCGAGTTACAGCCTAGGTAACAGCCGGTGTCCTGCTCGCCAGCATCGCTGGCTGCGGGGAGGAGTCAGGTGTTGACGGAGAATTACTAAGCTTGTCTATTAAACAGGAAAGCGACACTTGGTTTTATTTTCGTTGGCCAACTTTTGAACTGAGTTTTGTCAAGGAAATCGTATATTTCCTGGTGCAGACGTAGCACCCGGGCACGACGGACCCCCTATAAACCTATGGAGAGGAGGAAGGAGATCAGGAGGCAGGACAGAGAAAGGGGTGGGAGGGAGGGATGCAGGATACGAGGGCGAAGGGGAGGACTTAGGACGTGTGGGTATTTATGGAAATGCTGACGATGACGCGCTTGATGTGTGGTCCCGCTCCTGAAACTCTGCTAATTAACACCATTAAATGGAGACTTCAAGTTCTGCCAAGTCTTAAACATCACTTTGATCAAAACGATGAACTGAAAAAGAACTTTTATAATGAAAATGTATTTTAAACTCATTCAGATGTTCAGATGCAGATAAACAGCTCCAGAGGAGACGGAAAGCTGAGAAGAGGTGAAACCGTCACTCTGTACTGCACTGCACTCTGTACCTTCCACCAACTGGAGGTCACCTGGTACAGAGATGGCCACGCCCTCTCAGAGTCTGGCCCCGCCCTCCAGCTCGGTCCGCTGACTGCAAGGGATTCTGGGAAGTACACCTGTGGTTTGAAGACCAGCAGCAGCAGCCTCTCTCTGCCGTACAGCCTGAAGGTGAAGGAAGAGGAGAAAGGTTTGTTTGCTCAGTTTTCTCTATGGTAGAAATACTCAGAGGACTCTGCTGGATAATGTAACGATCATTCAGGTTAATGTTACAGTTGGAGTTATTTAAATCTAGTTTAAGACATCAGGTCAGTTTGGTGGACCGGTATAAAAACTACAATACCCATAAGCCTCAGTTGCAGTTGCTATAAGAAGCAGGCAGTCAGAGTTTGCTTAATGTCTAAGGTCTAACAGCTTCCTGTCCGTCTGATCCACATGAACAGTTGCCCCTCTGCTGATTGTTCGTCTGGTTCTCTTCACTCTGCACTCTGTGCTCATCGTCATAGCGGCATCCATCTTCATCAAAAGGTAACGTTCACCTACAAGAACCAAGTCAGTCTGGTTTCTGCTGCTGCCTGTATTCAGCACAACGTTTCTAGATGGGAGAAATCTGTATTTCATAATTTTTGGTTTCATGATGCTGCCAAAGTCTAACGTCAATTCTGTTTCTACTTAGTAGAGCCCGACGGATATGAGATTTTTAAGTCCGATACCGATTTTGATATTTGAGGATTTTAAAATCCGAAAGCCGATATATCAGCCAATATTCTTTTTCCCCTTATTTTAAGAAACGCGTAACATAAACAAAGATTATCCCAAATATTTGTTATGTTGAGACCTCACCAAGATACCACGACATAATGCAGTTTAAAAATAAAACAACAAACAAAAGTACAACAAAATATATTAAAATTTTGATAAATATGAAATAAATGTAAAAAACTACAGAAAACATTTTTATAATATCTGATTTGAGTACTACTACTAATGAACATTAAATAGTGTTTTTGGGGGCCAGTGAAACAGAAATAAATAAATATATAAAATAAATATAAAAATACCAATATAGTACTGCTACTAAAAATAATAATAATACCGTATATCATCTCTCGTGTCTTTGCTATAATAATAATAATAATAATAATAATAATAAACAGGGCTCTCTCTCTACATAGGCCAGTAGTTATATATAAATATTTTTTTCATGCAGTAGTTCTTACCTTACATATAATCTGCCACGATGACTACTTTCTACATCTAGTTTATCAGCGTCACAGCTACAGAAACGATTTCCTAACCACCTTCTGGCTTTATGATACAGTGACGCAGAGGAAACGCTGCCCTTGAATTAATCTGATATGACATGACTGTCTACAACGAGGACCTGCATCTGTGTCTTAGATGCTTGTTCAGCTCACGTTTAATCATTGTGACACGCCGACTGTAGCTAGAGACACTACAGTTTAATCGCTCTTTGATGTTTGCCTCCTCCACTGAGTAACACGGCATTAGCGTTGTGCGGTGTTACGAACACAGGAGCTGCAGCGCGCCCTCTGGTGGGCAAACTATGCAACACTTATGACATGAGGGAAGGAACCGCCTGGTCTCCGAAGAGGAGAAGTGATGAGGGCTAAAGTGCACTGCTAACATCAGTTTGCAGCTTACATAGCTAATTAGCTGCATACAAATGTCCGTTGGGTCACATTAGATGCTGGTTTGGTTCTAATGGTGCTTTCAGACCAACCGCGAATTTTCTCCTCGCGGCGCTTTCCTCGCGTGAGTACATTCGCTGCAAGTGTTCACACACAACGTGATTTTAAACAACTCGCCATTACTCCAGCAGAACCCAAAGTAAACATTTTGCTGTGATTAAACAGCAATAAACGGATCAAACTGATGCTGAAATAACGACAACATGAAGCTTTGTCAGGTCTGTCAGCAGGACAGCAGCTTCTAACATGTTTGTTTTCTGAATGGAGTTTGGATCGATCAGGGCTATGCTACGCTAACCTGTTCACAGTAAAGTACGACAGCTGGAACAAAGTTACAGTTACATATTTTCTGAAGTTCAACCTCCTCGCTTTTCTCCACGTAATGTCCAGTTTTATCCGTTTTTTATGTAAATATGAAGTCGTAGTCCGACTGAGCTAACGACACTAACAACAACAGTGGAACCAGATGTGCACAGAAGCTGCTGAGAAGCTCCAGTGAAGATAAATCAACCTTGAAATCCCAAAAACTAAAGTAAATATCTAATTTAATAAAAGCAGTTAACTATGAGCTGCTCCCGCGGGTAAACAGCATCTGAATCCAGACCGGCTTGAGTTGAAAATATTCAACTCACGCAAATTCCTTCGTTGCTTCGCGCCGACCGACAGGAAATCGAAATTTTACATTTTCTTTCCTACTGTGTTTCTTCTTGTTAAGTTAAAAGTTATTACATTTTGGATTAAAGTCATATTTTAGATTTTAGTCAGTGACTTCATTTTTTACATCTTTACAGGAAGTGTTTGCAGGAAGCAGCAGCAGAGAGCTGAAAGACGTGACGGTGAGTTATTAAAACAGCTGATGAACTGCTGATTGGTCCACAAGACACAGCAGGAGTTACAAGTACTGTTGTAGTCAAGACCGCCCAAACTGAGACTAAGTCAAGACCAAGACCAGAGTTTATCGAGACCGAGACAAGACCAAGACCAGTTCCCCACATTACATGACACACAATAAAATGTGGAACGAGATCAGAGGTACTTTTCAGATTGATCTGAAAGATCCACATTCCCATTAAAACAAAATCAACGTAAGCAACACCATCGCAGGGAGGGGGGGCAGTCGTTAACGGAAACACCACATTTTTAATTAGGGTTATCGGTTGCATCTGAAGCAAAATGTTTTCCATCCAATCAAAGTTTGGATGTTAAATAAATCTGACGATGCAAAAGCAATTTATTGATATTCCCAAAGTTATGGTCTTTACTGGTCTTAAAATAAAATCCCGAGTCCTCAATGTCCGAAACCGAGAAAAGACAAATGCGTCGAGTCTGACACGAGACCAAGACCATCAAAAAGGGGCCTTAAGACCAGTCTTGAGTACTACAGCACTAGTTACAATCCATGCACTCTGATATTAACGTGACCAAAACACATTTAAAAAGCTGCAAGAATATGAAAATATAACAATCCAAGCATGAATCCTGCTACAGAAATAAAGTATATTGAATTATTTAAGACAGAGAAATCCCCTGAGCCAGTTAGCTCAGAGCGTGAGCCCCTTCATCTATCCTGTGGCGCCCCCCTCAGGACAAACTCTGAATCATAGCTCCACTCCTGCTGAGCCTCCTCAGAGTGACATCTCATCTGGACTGTTTGAACTCTGCTTTCTGTTCCAGCCTCCAGACTCTGATGAGCAGCTGTGACGTCCAGACGGCCGAGGCCAGACTGTCTGACATCCTCACATCATCATGTCGGTCCCTGTTTTACAGCAGGAATCTTTCTGTAGATTTACAAGACGTCAAAATGGTGTCAGAATATATGTTTACCTTTGTAATATTGACCATCTTAGAGAGGTGTTCTGTAGTTTTCAGCGGCCCCTAGCTGTGTGGTTTTTAGATTGCAACCAGGGATGTATTTTCTCAGCCTGCTCGTTATATGACTGCATTTAGCCGACGTCACACATCAACGTTAGCTCCCTGCGGCTTTTCAATAACTGTAAGGTATCTTTAGCTCAGCTATGTGAGCGCAGCTAAATGTATTGGATGAGAACAAAAATATTACAAATTATTTTGTTGCCACACTTTACAACTGATTGTTATGTGGCTCACGTTAGTTACAGAAGGTGGAGAAGCTGTGGACCTGCTGATAATTATTTATCTACTATCGTGTACTTGCCTTCTCTGGCATTACAACGTCCACTAGGACATGTCAGGATTAATGTGTGTATGAAATTGTTCCGCCTCTACGTGGAGTTTTCAAGGTGAGGGTTTGCTCGGGGCCATATGTCTGATACTGCTCTGAGCCAGCTGATGTTTGTGCTTCTCTGTTGTTTCTCCTTTAATAAATACCAGAAGACAACCGTTTGTTTTAATCCAGTTATTTCTTCAATTCTGCACCAGGAAATATACGATTTCCTTGACAAACGTTCTCAGAATCAGATCATTTCTCCATCACGTCTTCAGGCTAAATCAACACTTTGACATATTACCGGTACACAGGATGAGCAACATTATCTAAGTTGAGCCAACTAAAAGACAAATTCACAATATGTTTCACATGCAGTAATGTTAGTTTACCTGTCCAACAGGATGTAAGAAGTGCTCCAAAACAAAGCGGAGGTCTCTCCCTGATTCAAGTCTGAAGTCAGACGTTGACTGCGTTACCTCCCGAGGTCGATCTGATTCTCGTTTGTCCCGACGGGCTTCAGCACATAAACCTGTTTTCTTGTTTTCTATCTGTATGTGGGGTTTGTGTTGGAGTCTGTGTTGTGCTGGGAGCTGCTTGTTTTTTGGTTTTAGCGGACTGTTGCTGTGTGTTCGGTACAGAATCAGAAGGTAAGAGGCTCGGGAGCACAAGTGGATCATTTTTATGTGAGATTACAACTCCTTCAAAATGCTTTAGGCCACAGTATAAAGTTACTATAGTGCATTCATTTATTGCCACTTTTGTTCAAGCCTCTCTATTGGCTACTTCTTTTATGTCTGCTTTAAGAAACACTATACATACCGTATATATTTGGGTTTTAATATGTTTTACGGTTTAAGATGGATGATGATTTTTGTCTTTCTCTCGCTACAATGACAATGATCTTTTTTCTCCTTGTCAGCCTCTTATAATAAAGTTAAAGGTAAAGATACTTTATTGTCAAATGCACATTTGACAGCCCCAGAACCACGAGGCTCCTCTGATCCAAAACCAGCCACGTTCCAGAGACACTCTGCTGCTGCTGTAACTGTTTCGTATCAATCAGCCATAGATTTCAGTCTAAGAGTCGATGTTTCTCATCTAAAGGGTTCAAGCAGCAAGCTCACACTTGGCTGGAAAATAGCAGGCGGATTGAACAGTTGATTTATTCTTTCATTTGAAAAGCAGCTGACAGACACTTTGGAGATCTGAGTGAAGATGGGGGCCAGCTGGTCTGCACAGATTTTCAGGCACGATGGTGAGACACCGTCAAGTCCAGGAGCCTTCCTGATCTTCTGCCTTTGGAAGAGGTGGCTCACGTCCTCTTCACAGATCTTGGTCAGAGGGGGAAGGTGACTGTTTAAAGATGGCGTTGGAGTGGGGGAGAGGTGTGACTCTGGGCTTTTCAAACCTACAGTAGAAACCATTCAGCTCGTCTGCCAGTCTTTGAGTACCAGCAGTGTTGGGGGATGGTCTCTTGTAGTTGGTGAGTCTCCGTAGGCTTCTCCACACGGACGCAGGGTTGCTGGCTGCAAACTTGTGCTTTTGCAGCGTAGCATCTCTTTGCAGCTTTGACCTCTTTAGTCAGAGTGTTCCTGGCCTGGTTGTACAGGACTCTGTGCAGGGTTTTTGTTTGTC